CTCTGTGGCTTCATCGCTATGAGCGCTCCCTTTCACATAGTGATTTGATTGATTTTTATTGTTATGGCCAAAACTATGAAAATAAGACCTAGATGTAATAAACTGAATAGTTCTTAAACATTGCAAAAGCAGTCAAATAAAAAAAAAAAACGAACAAAAGTTGCGTTCACCTGTTTACTGACTGCCACTCCGCCCAGTACGTCTCATCTCTCTGACATCGAGCAATGAGTTGCAGCTCTGCTATTAGAGACAGGAGGAAGAGAAGCATGTTGCGCTGGCTGGAGTGTGGGCCTGTCAGTCAACGCTAACAGCTGCATTTGGCATTTCAGTCAGGTACGAAAGGTGTGTTTGGTGCCAAAGTACCTCAAGTCAGACAGGCATCCCGACAGTGTTCCTGAATAACAATATTTCATCAGAGTAAAGTGGGAATAACAGGGAAGAGGATGAGCAGGGTAAACATAGATCAGGATGGATCCGCAGTCGTGTTGTTATGACTTTTAACAGAGAGGTAACGGACATACGTCCTCAAGGTTCTCCTCCACCATCTGTTCTCCGGCTGTATTGACTCTTTCCTTCTTCTCTCTCTCTCTTTCTCTCTCTCACACACACACACACACACACACACCTCTGAACATGGCCATCCACATTCATTAGCATATAAATAAATCATACACAAACACAAAAATGCAGACTGAGACAATGGGGCCATCTCACAAATGTATTTTCCTGTAGTGTTAAGAGGTGAATGTGGAATATTAGTGGATATAAGCAGACTCCAGTAAGGTCCATTAATGTTTGTGTGCGAGTGTTGTTCCAAGCCTGATGAAAAGGCTTTTAGGCTAATTACATGAAAGGAGTGTGTTGCTATCTTGATTAATTTTAAGCTTGAGCTTACATCACTCTCTTCCTCACACACACACAAATATGTGCAGACTCACGCTGCACTGGTTCAATAGACTGCTGCTGCTGCTGCTGCTGCTGCTGCTGCTGTTTAAAGTAGAGAGTCATTTTAACAGAATAACTTGTTCTTATGTGTGAATGGGTGTGTGTGTGTGTGTTGTCACGTCTTCCACAACTCTTAACTCCATGATTGAGTCAATAATGAACATGATGTTCTGAGCGTGACTTACACAGCTTCTTCTTGGTTCATTGCTGATACCTCGCTTGCTGACAGTGCATTTCAGTCACCATCTCGATTCCTTTTCTGTTTTAATTGAGGGATAAAAGGGAGAATTTTGAAGAGAGGAATCACCATATATATATATATATATATATATATATATATATTTGTTTTCAAATCTAATCTAGCAGCGCCCTCTGTCCAGAGACAGCAGAACTGCAAGATCACAGCCTTTTTAATTTGACATGGAAAACTCAGCATTATGTTTTCCAGGAGTTTTGATCTTTAGGATTCAATGGTCAATGATTAATTTTTATTTAGAGCCCACAGCCCAAAATTATGAATTTGTCTAAGAGGGCTTTACAGTCTCTACAACATAGACCCTTGATTTGGATAAAAACAAACTGCACAATAAAACTCTGTAACAGGAAAAAGGAGGATAAAACCACAAGAAAAGCAACAGAGCAGAGATTTCTCCTCCAAAATAGACAGATACAGCACATAACATTTGATATGAAGTAAATATTAAATGTAATAAGTTAACAAGTCTCACACAACATGTAGAAGTATTTAGAGTAAAGACTATGGATTGGTTTGGTTTTATTTTGTCATAAAACAATGTTGAGACAATACATTTTCCACATATTCAAAAATATAACAATATATAATATATAAATATAACTGATAATTAAATGAAACAAACAAAATATAGCAAAGTAGAAGCAGGATATAAAACAAAGTGTTAAAACAAGATTGAAGCAGATATGAAGCAGAGTCAGAACAATCAATAGATAAATGAGAATGTGATAACACAGTTTTAGGCAGGATATTTTATCCTGGGTCTATGTGGTCACACTAGAAAAGAGGAAAATTGGTGAATAATATTCCAAGGATACATGCATTCAAGTCATTGGCCTTTTATGCTATTCAAATATTTAAATTATATACTATTATATTCAGCTCAGCATTGACACTGCTTTGGGCAAGTGTAACCTGCAGAGGTTTGTTTGTATGAAATCCAACTAAAATCATGCGATTGAGATGATGGTAAGAATGAAAGAGGTTCTGAATTAATTTTTTTTTTTTTAACAGAGGTTGTTGATACAGAAATATTCTTTGCACACAAGGACACTACTTTGGCCTATATCACAAAGGACATTTTACATCTTTCAATAGGAAAAGCACGGGCCCAAATAGTAAGAGCTGAATTAATTCCACTTAGCTGCTTCGGTATCAGGGCCCTGGGATTGTTCATGCCGGTTCAAGGTCATGGCTCCAACTGTGCCTTTCCTACTATGACAAGTCAAAACCTCTGCTGTGTAGGCCTATAAATAAAAGAAATCTGTATTCTTGTATAGACCTACGTCAGTTTATATGCAATTCTTCATCCTTATTTTCTCTTTATTTTAGGGACTTCACACTCACTGCACTCATTATTGGCTTTTTTTCATTAGGGTCCACAATCTGTTCACTATGTCGATTCATGTAATAAAAGCATTGATTGTCTAAAAAATGTTTTATACAATGAAATTTGTATTTGAAGTCAAAGTCAAATCTGATATCAAAAACAGCTGTTTAGATAAATGTATCCTCAAATGTAGTTCTGTCATTCCGTCAAATTAATTAGAGCAGGTTTGATAAGAGTACACAAAATCTATTACCCTTAATTTGGGGGATTTAAAATCATTACTGTTTTGTCATCAGTTAACTACAGTAATCATAGCTTTTTTTAATAATATTAATGGGATAATGATAGTATAATTAGTAATCACGAGAAAAGAAAATACAGCTGTGACAATAAAATAGTGAGAGGAGGGGGAAAACGTGGAATATTCAATATATTCATCTTAGAAGAATAATGGATATCCAGGCATTGTGTTCTGTCTTGACATCTGTTTTCCTGGCTTTAATAAGAACTGAGCATCTTTTTTGATGTAATTTATTCCTTCACATCTCTGCACAAAAAAAAAAAATGAAAGGGAAGAAAGTGTTTCTTATGTGCTGGTGTTTTTGTAACAACAAGATGAGGCCATGCCAATTCAAATTAAAATGACAAAAATGAAGTAAAATTACAACACTGACTGAGAACACTGGTGCACTGTTTTCCTTTGATCACAGAAGAGTTCGGATGCTGATTAGTTAGCGTCGCTCAGCATCGATTGCGTCCAAATGGATTCTCTCTGATGGCCCTCACACCTCCTCACAGCCTTCCACCTCCATGTCTGCTGCCTCATCCAGCTGGCTGCTTTCTGCTGGGTCCACTTCCTTTGGCTCACAGGCACCATCTTGGTAACAGCAACAGACAGTTGGTGGGTAGAAAGGAGTCTGCTGGAGTACTCGAGGTTCTGTGGACCCAACTGGCATGTGCGATGCAGATTATTCTAGTGGTGAAACTGGCCCTGAAGCAGCCTGGATCAGACAAACTGTTTCTCTGGCAGGGATGCTGTCGAGCAGAGGGTCTCCGGTTAGCTTGGCCGAAACGAGAGGCTTAAGTTTCCCAGGGACATTGACTGGTTTGTACGGGCATTGATGCTACAGTTTGTCTTGTTTGGCGGTTTGACAGGGAAGAGAAAGTGTGGAGAAATGTGCGATGAAAAGAAAGTGAGCGAGGAACCAGCTTGGAGAGAAATGCGGCCCGTCAGTTAAAGCTGCCTTATGACTACTCTATGCTATTTAACCTTTATTAAACTGAGCACGTTGCACTGAGAGTGGGGTTCTCTTTTCCAGCAATGCCTTGATCAGACAAATGTAGACAAATTTACAGTACAGAGAGCACACACTTAGTTTTTTGGGCTAGTGTTGTACTTTAACCTATGCCAAAATGATTGAATTGAATGATTGAACGTTGAAATGTTGCTAGATTGTGCAGTAGTAAAGATAGTAATGCAGTGTGCTTAAATCTGAATGTTCAGTTCCTATTTTTCTGTATGCTGTGTAAAACAATGTGAGATAATGTAAGCACTTGACATTTGAAGTGTGATTGTAAATTTTTATGTATTTGTATGTATTTGTTGTTTTTTTATTTTTATTTTGTTAGTTTATGGCCAGACTTCTCAGCAAATCTGCAAATTACATATGTTTGTGGGTGTTTAAACCCCTGAAGCAAACAGACTTAAAAAATGAGTCTTTCTTTAAATGTTAAGGCACTGTTACTTTTTATTTCATGAATTTGAATGCAAATGTTTGGGAACCCTAGTCTTAGTACTTTGTAATCATTTGCCAATTATGTTTTCAGTTGAGGTAAAACATGACTACTGCAAGAATGAATGAATAAAAAACCTTCCCATTATAGTCATCATGTTTACAATAAATTCAATCTTGTGGTCTTTATATCCAAAATATGACCTGTTATGACATCTTTAACATAAAGTTAACGATCAAAGTTTGCTGATGAAATTACGTTAAGTGAGAGATTCAATTTTCTCTCTACAATATTCAGTTACTGTCAACATCAGCAAATCGTGATGCAAAAACATGGCGTGTAATTTATGTAATTATAAAAAAATAAATATTTGTCTAGCCTCATTGGGTATATAGAATTTCTGAGGTAATAATCAAGTTTTTTCCAATAAATATCTTTAGGTTGTCAAGTTATAAAACTCCCCTCTACAATTCATTCTGAATATGTTTATTATTGGATTTATAATCAGTAGCTAATATCTAGGCCTCCTTCTTAATGACCTTTAACCCAATATAGCTTTTCATTAAGTGACCCAGCTCAACCATCAAAGGTCTTTGTCTGTCACTTCTTCCTTGTTGTGCTCGGTGGCGTCCCCTGACGGTGATCTCCGGTAGTCCCCCCCCCCTAACAGTCTGACCGTCCCACCGCCGCCCGGAGGAGCTGCTCAAGTTCACAAACCGCTGGCTGTGTTTAGTTTGGATAGGCTGTCCCACTGTGTGAGTCTTTGCGTTGCCTTTTACTATTGTTGTGCGTCGGATGGACAGACTGACTCCAGGTCGACTTCAGATTTTATTTTATGGGCAGGAGGAGCTCAAACATTTCAACTTTGAAACTTTTTTAACATTTCGTGGCTTTGATTTTCATCTACCCAAAGAGAGATTTTTGTTGATGGCGCGGTCTAACCAAGATGGACACGGGTTGTCTGCCGGTTGGAGACTAGATAAGTGCTTCATTCACTAAATCTAAATGTAGACTTTATTTATTTATCCGCAGGAAACGTATTATCCATCAGGTGGATGTAACTGGACTGGGCCGTTTCCACCCCAGAGGTCACGTCCTATAATGAACATTTTCCCACTGAAGTTTCGGTGAACTTTTCCCACGACTCGCCATGTCGGGAGTGGTCCGCACCCTGAGCCGCTGCCTGCTCCCGGCCGACGCCAGCCGGGACCCGGGCGGCAGCAAGGAGAGGAGCAGGGAGAGGGACGCGGCGCAGGAGCGGGAAGCGAGGCGCAGGAGCCGGGAGATAGACGCGATGCTCGCGCGGGAGAGGAGAGCCGTCCGCCGGCTTGTGAAGATCCTCCTGCTCGGGGCCGGAGAGAGCGGAAAATCCACATTCCTCAAACAGATGCGCATCATCAACGGGCAGGAGTTTGATCAGAAGGCACTGCTGGATTTCCGGGACACTATCTATGAGAATATACTGAAGGTAAGGACAAGGTTTTTAATGGGAAATAAACAGCCTGAGGCCCTTAGGTAAACTTTATAGCCCTGATTCCAAAGTTTAATCCTCTAGGCTTCATGTAGGCTTTAACAGGCTATCTGCTGTCAACACATGTTTTAGTCTTACTTTTATTTTAAACTGATATTTTGTTTGTTGAGAACTTTCTTGAACCACACAAAGAGGTTTGTTGACATAGTACATATTTTTATCCTGAAGTGTGTGTGTGTGTGTGTGTGTGTGTGTGTGTGTGTGTGTGTGTGCGCGTGTGCGTGTGTGTGTGTGTGTGTGCGCCCCCTTTGTTTGCTGTCATGGCTGGGCCTCCCTCACCAGCTAACAATACCAGACTATTCCTGAGGGATGAGCACATCCGCCCTGAGTGCCACACAGCCCAGACAAGGATGATAAGAGCCCGCACTTCTGCACAGCGGCATACAGTGGCGGTCCTGTCACGGGCCAGATCAGAACAGAAAGACCCCTCCCCCCCCCCGCTCTCCCCATACACTTACTGTCCACCACCATCTAAACTGCAGAGAAACACAATATCTGACGTGTAGGAGCAGATAGAAGAGGCAAAAACAAGCAAGTGGGCGTTTTCTCCACTGCAGCATTTGTGTGTCCCCTACCCACATTCAGAGATACAAAAAAGTACATGCATTTGCATCATCACATAGAAGCATTAACACGATAGCACATGCCTGTAATCGCTTCACTCACCCTGCCATTATTCAGCATCCTGAGAACCTTCAGTCTCATGAAACAACACAAGACACAATATTGGTATGAGTTTCTGCTGCAAGAAGCCTAACAGTTATAGACGATTATCAACTGTCAAAATAGTTACTCATTAGATTTAATCAGTCAGTTCATCCCTTTGTATCAGCTCTTTCCAGCTCAAATCTGTATGATAATTACAGTGAATGAAGTAGTCAAACCCATGTTTTTCTTTTCTTTTTTTTTTTGTGGCGGCACCATTTCATCAAATGGAAAGAGACATATTCCACATTCATGTGCATCATTTTAGACACACTGACCCCAAAATTCAGCTGGACATATCTGGTATCTCTGGAAGCTTTGGTATCTCCACTACAATTTAAAATAAAGTTATGTGTATTCGAACGAGTTTGACATGAATGACCCACCAGCACTAATTACTATAATGTGAAATAACATATGGAGGTGAATATGTGCTCATTAGTAAACATAAATAACACAGTCTCATTGTAAATCAACAGTAAATTATCTTAAGACTAAACTTGATGTATGTGAAAATGACTTCACCACACCATAAACTCAACATGAGTCCATTAATAAAGCAGAGAGCCGCTGGTGGTTTGACTGGGCTGCTGTCTACAGTTTGGGGCGTTGGTTGAGGATCAGCTTCACCTGTCGGGTGTAGAGAACCCCCCTTTCATTGGAAGCTAAATAAAGAGAAGGAGAACAAAGCGGGGGGGAGGGGGGCGGGATAAAGCTGAAAGGGAACACACAGGTGTGTGGCACAATTTGGCATATAAAGATAAATAACAGAGGTGTGGTCCCACTCCTTGAGTCTCTGTAATTATACCTCCAGTAACGGATAAAGCTCCGGTATAATCCCTGTCAAAATGGAATAACTTATTTCCCATGAGTTAAGCTGAAACAAACCAGCAGCTGAAGATCTGCAGCCTGGTGCAAACTAAGTCTGACAAGCTGTACACACCAAGTGCAGGTAGCAAGCTTTTAGGAAACAGCTTTACACTCAAGAGTGGACCAATGAGTATCCATCTATTTACAAGCTATACCTTTTGTAAATACAATTATCTATCTTTAACATCTTTTTTACTAGTAGCTTTGCTAGTGCTACATAGCCAGCGTTAGCATTAACAGCTGTTTACCTACCAGTCTAGAAGAAATGTCGCGAGTTCAGCATCAAACTTTATTCCTTTACTCACCAAGAGCTGACGCCGGAGGTGGAAAGCAACACCGGTGTAAACTCTTGTCTCTATCCTGTCTTTTCTTCTACTGAAGTTAGCGTGCTGACCAGCTAGCCCTGGCCCGTCTCGTCACTATCGACTATCAGACTTTCACTGCAGCCTGAAGATGTGGCGTTGCTCAGAGGGTGTGTTATAACCTCTTGTCTTGTAAACACAACCATGGCCAAAGCTCTTGTTCTTGCCCAAACCCCAGCAATCAGGGGTGATGTTACAAGTTCAGTGTGTGAAAATTTTGTATGTCTTAACACAAAAAGTGCAATTTGCTGTTTGACCCAGTTCAACCCTGTTTGAGAAATTTCCATTAATTTTCCCTTTTAAGCAGCTTTAAAGCGAGAGCGGCAAACTCTGGAAGAATAAGTCACAGTCCTTCTCTTTCAAGTAAAAGGTTGAATTCATTAGCATTAAAACACACCGTCACTCAGTTCAGTGCACTCACAGGTTTGCTGCTATACGTTCACCTGGTCTGGTTGGACCAGTAGCTCAGTGGCTAATGTTATGTTAAGTAACTTTACATACATATTGTTGTGTCAGTTCATAAACTTTATGTCTCTTCTCTATCTGTTCTACTGGTACCGTATGTTTTAGCATTTACCATTACCCTGTAATTGTCACACTATTGAAGCCCCAAAACTCAGCGTGTTTGGCATCTTTGGAAACTCACAGGAATTAAAAATAAAGTTCTGTGGGTTTCAAGACAGTTTGTGCTGATTAAACTGTGCGGATTGAAGAGGTTAATCACTACTTAGCGTTTGTTTGTTTCGGGGCAGGGGAAGGAGGGACTGATTACCTGATTGGATATTGTATTCTTACAGTTTTTGAGGTCTGATCTACAGTGGTGATGTTTTCGGTCTCCTTGTGTTTTGAGAGGACTATGAGACAGAGGAGGAGGGCGGCGCGGTTCATGGGGTGGACAGCATCAATGCAGGAAGGCAGCTACTGTGTAATTACAAAATAGTGATAAAAGACACAGGCCTCTGACACTCCTAGACAGCTTGTAGGCAGCTACTAACCACCACCGACCACGTCACGACTGTTGTCAGCTCAGATGTGGGATTCTAGCCCCATGTAGTCAGATACTGAGGACCAGTGACACCAGTGACACCAGTGACACCAGTGACACCAGTGACAGTGACGAATACCAAGAGCTGGTCTTTTGTCGAAGTCTGTTTCTCCTCTTGAATGCTGTTGCCCTCCATATTTGGGCTTAGGGTAAGGTTGTGAAATAGTCCCGGTATACTGGTGTTTCTGGTAGTTATCTATTAGCTACACCTACTGTGTACGTCAAGCACACAGACGGGTCCAGAACAAGTTTCACAGGCAGAGGCTGTGTTCCAGTTCAGAGGCTGCATCCTGTGAAAGGACGCAGTCCGCATACTGGAGATCGGGCTGCACCTACAGCCTCAGAGAGTACAGAATCAATACTGCATTCACGAGGTCTTTATCAGTCAGACTTTTCCATGTTCATCACCAGTAAGTCCTCCTCAAACACACAACAACAACAAAGAAATACTGGTGGTAAACTGGGATTAAGGTAAATTATACGCGAGTTTACGGTAGGAGTTGTGAAATATCCCTTAAATGCATGAAGGACAAATAGATAATAGTCCACTGGAATCAGGATTAAGGCATCTTTATGATTCCCAGTTATCTGTAAAGCAGCATTACCAGAATAGTAGTTCAAATGCAACTATCACTAAATACAAATTGGGCATGTGCTATTTCTATATAACTTAACTACATAAGTTGACAAGGATCACCTGAATGCCCATAATAAAAATTGTCCAGCTCACATGGGGGAATGGGAAGGATACTCTGGTATTGTGCTCCAAATTTGGGCAAAAAAAGGCAGCATTTCTTGGCCGAATTTGGAGGCGGCTTTGAAAACAGCAGACAGGCCTGGTCAACTTGATATGGTGTTGTCGTATTTGGTGTAGAAATGTAAACTATAAGGGCACGCTTACCGACTACTAACTGATTACAGACGGGAAAGAAGGACAGACGTTGGCAGGGAAACAGACAGCCGTACAAACACACAGGCATACAGGAAGAGAGACAGACAAGAATACAGTGGATTATTCAGCAAATACACAGATTAGTAAACTGACAAAGTTCATGCTGGGTCACAAACAGAAAAAAAAAAAAAAAGTAAATGATTACAGAGACAATAGTCATGACTGGATGTGACTCAACGCTCCGTCAGAGTGACTTTCTGTTAGTAATTTCACCACCGTCATGCTGGTGTTGCATCTGCATGTGTGTCAGATGATGGTTACATGTGTGTCTTTGTGTTTAACACGAGTCACAGTCTGGGGTTTCATTCCCATTATAAACATATAAACGTAAAAAAAAGTGGTAAGTGATGGCTCAGAACAACCACAGCACTTAGTCACAATGGGGCATCACAGTCAGACACACATACAATCTCACATGCCACAAACGTACACATAGAGTAGCTGTCACATCTTCCTTTCTTTGTTGTGTTTCTGTTTTTTGTACTTGCCTTTTTTTTACTCCTGTTGTACACCCACATGTCTGAGAGCTAGGTGGGTCTTTGAATTATCTTGTCTAAGGTTTCTCACAGATTTCTTTTTTTTTTTTTTTTTTCCTTGCTTCTGGTTTTTTTCGAGGATTTTCTTTGTCTTCATGGAGATAAAGTTCGAGCTGTGTCAGGGAATTTGTGCGCATATAACACCTATTGAATGTGACATTAAGCTCTGCAACCTTGATTATTGCACAAGGTTGTCATGAGTCATTGACAGACATACACCACACAACACAACACACACACACACACACACACACACACACGTCTATTAACCTACAGTGACCCCTGAAACACTTTGTGCCACAATGATAATGTCTGCTGCTGGGTCCTCTGTTGTGTCAATCAATAAATCAAGCAAACAAGCAAACAAGCTTTATTAATACAGTACGTTTTGAAATTTAACATGCTGTGAAATATGCTTCACATTAGTGTCAGTTAATTAACCATAAAATTAGACGCGTAGAAAACAAGCAACAAAATTGTCAAAATTAAAATTAGATTTTAAAAAGTAGAAATAGTGAGGTACAAATAAGAACTGCCGCTGAACAAAACGTTGAAAAAGGTGGAATAAAAACGAGGACAAAAGGAGAAACAGATACAAAACACTGAATCTGTCTGTGTGTGTGTTGGTTACTCGGTAGGAGACCTCCCACACAGATCAGTCTGCACGGCTTTTTCTCCAGAAAACCACCAGCAGCCACACGTGCATGTGTTTGAGCACATGTGTGTGTATGTCAGAGACATGTGCTGCACTGTTAAACTTACTCCATGTTTACCAGTAATGCTACACTCAGTGGCGACGTTTTTTCTGAGGAAGCTGCACATGCAGAGCTTTTTTTAAAATTTTTTTCAGGAAATATTTCTACAATATTGCTGACATTAGAAAATGACAGTTGTTTCACCACTTCGCTGCATTCGGGCTCGTAAATGTGTGCTGCTTGTGTGTTTCTGCAGGGCATGCGTGTGCTGGTGGACGCCCGGGACAAGCTGGGCATCAGCTGGCAGGTCTGCGAGAACGAGAAGCAAGGCATGCTGGTGATGTCGTGGGAGGGACGCGTGGGCGCCACGGGGGTCGAGCCCAGCGAGTTTCAGCTGTACGTGATGGCACTGAGCGCGCTGTGGGCCGACGTCGGCATACAAGAGGCCTACGCACGGCGCTCTGAGTTCCAACTGGTGAGTAGATCAGAGAGGAGGCTCCAGATTTTTCTGTCTAACGTGCCAACACAGCTGTGTTAGATGATCAAGTTCTCTTTATTGGCTCCTGACGTGTGTTCGTCTGTACTGACTTTAAACTGGACGTTATTTAACACTAGTCATTATACTTAATTGGATATAGTATTATACATTTTTTTCCCTGCAAGACAGGAAAGAAGCTTGGTAAAAATTTGTGTTTATTCAACTACTTTTAGTGATTTATTCAGACTTCTCAGCTTGTGTGTGAGTTTCCCTGCAATCTCAGTGGCAACATGTGGTGTTGAGTTTTTACGTTGCTGCTGGTGGTGGTGGTGGGGATGAGCTGTTGTCACTGGTGATCTACTGATTATTGTGACAATGAATAACTTTAAGATCAGCCTCACACAGATTCTACTTGTGTTTATTTTCAACAAAAATATGTGGATAGATTTGTTTTAAACAAATCATTATTTTTTTTACATTAGTTTGAATTAATTTTACACTCAAAGGCATTTAATCACTGTTTAGTTCTGTTAAAACCAGTGGATGCCCATCATGTTAAACTATAGACTACAGCTTTAATTTAACATTACTTACTATATATTTACTATATTTGAGTATATTCTCCTAATATAAAAAACTGAGCTACAGCATAATCTTTTCCTGTACCCTGTGACAGATCCCCCCCCCCAAAAAAAAAAACCAACTATTGTACAGGGCTTCAGTCACGGACATTTCAGACAGTCAAGAAGAAAACGTGATAATAAAACATAATAATGTCTCAAGCTATTCATGTAGCTGTCTATGACGGACGTTTCCTGTCTTTGACCCCTTAAAACAAAGCAATAGCAACTGATGACTCATCATCACAGTTAGCATCTGCCCTATGTTAAGACATCTTGTTTTGTTTATTTAAATACTTTCAAAGTTTGAAGATGAAGAATTATCAAGTTATTCACAAGGAAAAAAAAACAGCAAACATTAGAGGAAAGTCTTACAAAAATAAATCGTTATGTCGTTTTTCTGCTCTATAACGACCTTGTGACCCTTTGGGTGGGTCCCGACCTCCAGGTTTGCGAAGATAAGCCACTTCCACTAATCCTCCCATGAACGTCTGCATCAAAAAACCAGCCTCCAGTTCATCCACTGGCCAAGAGTCATGTTTACTCAGAGATTACTCGCTGGCTGACATGATGCTTCTCTTCTAGTGCGTCACAGTAGCTAAAGAGCGTCCAGTGTGTGACCTGCGACCGACTTCACTTATTTATCAGTATGAAAATGTAACATCGCCTTTTCTGTATCACTGTCGGTTAAACAGCAATTTTTGGTTAAAAGTTGTAAGTCAACCTTTTTTTCTATCAAATCAAAAAACATCCTGGAGCTGAAGACAGCGCAGGACCTTCGACACTCATCATTCCTCTCCATCATCGGTTTTGTGTCACTCTGCTGTGGAAAAAAAACAAACCAACAGCCTTTAATAAAATACCTTGCGCTGTGTATGTTTTCCAGCTCTGTAGTGCCTGTGGCTGTGAACCATAAATGTTTTTTCGCTGTGAATATTTCCACATAACTTCGGTGACGTGAGCAGTGGAGAGTGGCAGCTCTCCTCATGGTAACTGATTTACCACAGCCCGTCCTCACAGCGCCGATAATCACTGACATGCTCTAAACTTGAAGCAACTGGATGATATCAGAAATGTTTTTACCCATCAACCCAGTGTAGGAGCGCTGCACTGAGTGAAGCCTGCGGAAGTATTTCATGTTTTTCCTGAGTAACTTACCTCTCTCCTTTTTATTGTTTGGCAACTTTCCAAATGTGTAATTATTTTTCTCTTGACTGGAAATGGAGCTGGTGAAATAGAGCCCTGCGGAGTTTCATCTGCCACGCTACACTGCACCAAACACAGTTTGAAATGGCTTGTAGATTGCAGTGTCATTCTTTTTCCTTTTAACCATAATATTTTAAACAGACACTCGTCAAAACCAGCGGGTTGCAGACAACACTGAAGGTTTGAGTTTCTCTTAACTAGTCACATTGAATAGATGGAAAATAAGGCAGTATTTTATTTTCATATTTTTGAAAATGCCAGGAATCTTCAAAAAGGTTTGATAAAATGGCACACAAATGCCAGAGCAGTGGTACACTTTATTTTCTAGGGATGACAGAGTCAGTCGACCACTTTGGTCAGGACTGAAATATGTCAGAAAGGAGAAATGTGAGCGGCACCAGTGGGTCAAAGTTTATATTTTACTCATGCAGTAAAACATCCCATCATCGGCAGGGTCAATGGGGTTGATGCATGTTAATGACTTTGATGATCCGCCAATTATTCATCCTGCTCCACCAAGAGGTATTTTGTTTCTTAGTGAAATGTCTCAATAAATATGGGGTTGATTGCCTAACATTAGGTCAAAATTTCAATTTGTCAAGTACTTCGGTTCATTTGGTTCATTAAATACCAACAAAACTGAAGCCATTTGTATCAGCTTTAGCTGTACTTCATGTTAAGTCCTAAATAGCAAATGTTAGCATGCTACGATGATGAACATGGAAAATACTAACCTTATATACAGTAGCATGTGAGCATGTTAACGTACTGGCATTAGCTGCGTTGTCTGTTTCACTGATCCACTAGAAAAGCGGTGGACTCTTGATATTGTGATTGAATTTTACAAGACAAAATCTGGGCCAATTTCACATTAAATAGGACAAATTTACATTATGTTAGTTGAGCATATGAAAGCTTGTCTTTTTGTGATTGCATATTATAAGCAAGCATATTATAAACAATAAAAGATGTCACATAAAGATGTCCAGATAGAGTGAAATAGGAGAGCTCAGTCGCAATCTCTAGTCAAATCATCTTTTATTTTTTGTCCAGATGTCTAAGTTGATTTTTTTCCTCTGCTGTCTTAAGAGAACCAAACGAATAGTGACAGTTTTAAAGCAGCCACTTACTGTAGTTTAAAGAACAATTTGTGAGCAACGGAACGGTTGGAAAACCACTTGCTGCTAAAAGCGTCCACAAATATGCTGTGAAGGGCCAGACAGACTGTTAATGACGCGTAATGGTTCAGCAGAATGTCATGAATGATCGCTAACCATATTGTCAACATAGCGAATGTCTCACACCACTGGCATCACCAGATGGTCTCGTTTTCGGTGTGCTTTGTATCGGCTGCGGCAGCTAGTTTATTGGTTCTTTATGTAAAGTGACACTGCAGCGATACTGTCCGCTCAGAGCTGCAAGTTTGACCTTTTACCTTGTTTCACATTTATCAGTGACAAAACAATCTGGAGTCAGACAGAAGCCACTTCCGTCTCCCTCTCACTTAACATACTGTATGTGTGTGCGTGTGTGTGTGGGTGTGTGTGCGTGTGTGTGTGTGTGTGTGCTGGGCTGTCGTGTGTGTGTGTGTGTGTGTGTGTGTGTGTGAGTGAGTGAGTGTGAGAGAGAGAGATGTCAGTGCACAGCTTCAGGTCAGACTGCCTTGTCTTATCTGGAGTCACTATGATAAAAGTAGTATGCTCCAGCTGCACAGCCCTGCATCATTCAGGCTCATTCTAGCTTAAAGGATAAGGCCCTTGATATTCTTATATTTTTCTTACTGTCATAAGAAATCCCATGAAAAGAACAAAAACCAACAACAAATCGAACAAGTGAAAGCCAGAAACAGTTAATAGCTCCGTGCATGCTGTAGAGCTCCATTGATGTCCAAAAACTATTAGAAACACATCAATGAGCCACAGTGTTGCACAGTAGTTTACTCTGAGTCAACCCCACATACACCCACCGTCCTGCAGCTGTAAATACTCATTAGCGCAAGAACATGTGCGTACACGTGCATTGTAGGAAAAGGTTTGTCTTTTTCAACCTGGGTTTTATTTTCATAACTGTGGCATGACTGACTAATGAGTCACGCTGATTTTTCCAGCTAAACAATACTGGGACAAACTTCCTAAATCCTTTATAAACTTCCATTTTTCATTTATAATTTTAAACACTTGTCTGCAAGTCCAAATGATAGTAAAGACATAAAGCAGCCCCCTGTGTTAAAGGTCCCATATTTTACACTTTTCCGGTGTTTTATTTGACGTTTTGATATCCATGATAAGATGTAAGTGTGGTTTTAAGAACCAAAAACCATCTTAGTGTATCTTCACATCTCCTCTCTCAGGCTTCTCTCTGGAGCTCTAGTAACAACAGGTCAGTGAGCCAATCAGAAGAGAGAAAGCTCCGAGCCTCTCTTCTGATTGGCTGACTGCTTTCTGAGTGATCGAATTAAAATGTAGCAGATTTCAGGTAAAAACCTTTAGAGAAACCAAATCATGCAAAGTTGGATTGTAGGTCCAGGTGAGGGCAGTGACGGTACAGTTGTGACATCACAAAGTTACAGAAGTCCTGACAGCTTGTTTTTAAGGCTCAGTTTCCTAATACAGGCTGTGTGCATTTCTCTGTGGACTGAGAGTTTGATACTTGCACAGTATTAATGTAGAACCTAGACCTGTTTTATAATCAAAGAAGACATGGAAATCTCATGTCATACAATATGGGACCTATGGGACTGAGCTAGCTGTTTGGCTAGCCATCTTACAAACTGCTCATCTGCATCCATGACAAACATTTATTACTTATCATTTCATATATAGCCTTACTCTATTACTGTATGGACAGCAGATCATTTGGTCCAGCCAGCCTCTCTCTCGTCCAGCCACTGCACTTTCCATAAAAGACAGAAACATAAACAAATCTCCAGTTGTTTGCTACTACTTCACTTGCATGTGCACACGCTGAATCGACAGCGATCCACCGAAACAAATATGTAAACAAACCATGTGTAGATGAGCTGAGATTAACAGGCAGCTGTTTAGTTAACTGGCAAGTTGCCCAGGAAGTAGATCTTCATGCAGTTAACAAGCATAACAGCTAACCCAGGGGTTTTTTGGAAAACATCAGGAGGATTGCAACTGTTTTGCTAGAGTTTTTCCGAATCTGTAGAAAGGAGGTGCCTAGTGCAAAGTTAGCGCGACCCATAGTCAGAATCGCCTCATTTATGAGAATAAGACCTGAAAAAAATACAAGAATTCCTTCATGGCTCTGTGACTAAAAATAGTACTCAAAAAATGCAGAATTTGCTCCTGTTTTGTTCCTGTTTGCTAAAAACTACAGTGCCCAGCTGTTTCAGGAAATTACTTGTATTCAAAACTGAACTGCTACATTTATAAAGTAGGGGCTGAGTGTCACATTCAGGGTAGTGAAAGTGAGAAGTACGGAGATGGGCTAATGCATTGTTGGTTTTGGTCTTTTCGTGGGATTTATTGACAATAAGTAAATTATAGAGTATCACCAGCCTTATCCTTTCAAAGTAAGCAAAACAAAAATGTCTACCGCGGAGCAAATGTGCTGAGTTAGAGACTCTAAACCTCCCCCGTCTCTCTCCACTTCTCTGAGAGGTTTTCCGGGGATACCACAGTCAGCTTTTCCCAGGCACAGCTGGAGCAGGGCCACGGGCAGACAGAGTGAGAGCGAGGAAAGAGAGAGTCCAATGAGAGGAAAAGAGGAAGGGAGTGGAAAACTAGAGAAGGGCAGGGGGATGGGGAGGCTGAGAGAGAGAGAGAACGAGAGAACGGAGTGAAGGAGTGGAGATAGTGACAGAAAAACAAACCAAAAGCGAGCACATGTGAGGATTTTGTTTATTTGCAGGCTTCTCTGTGTTCCCACCACACCCAGATAACGCAGAGTTTGATATAGGATATAAACACCAAAACCTCCTTTGCTTGACAAAAACAAGGCTGTATATCATGCTGTGATGGTAAACTGTCGCTGTTGTCTTCAGCAGCGCAGACACACCCTGCATAAAGAAGGTATGAGTTTAGGGTACACTGTATAGGGAAGTTTGAAGCCCAACAAAGATGTGAAGAGGCTGAAACACATGCACAGACACAAACACATATTCCATATGGTTGAGTAGATTTCAACATGCTGCTGCTGCTGCTGCTGCTGCTTCATGATTTAACATTGGCTATTCTGTATGTAAAGCACTTTATATGTAGGTGTTTACAGAGGGAAATTCTTTTTCTGTATACCCCTGTTTCTTGTTTGCATCATTAATGCATCAGAATTATAATCCAATAATATAATATACATGAATATAAAATGAGGACTTTTACTTCTTTTGACAGCAGTGTTCTCAACCACAGCAGCTGCGGAGACTCTGAAACACACCAACACCAGTTCAACTAAGTGCACCTGTGCAATAAACACAAACAGTCAGACAAACCTAAAGCTCACACGCGAGCTGTTTGTTCACCGGTTTTCTAACTTGAAAAAATCCGAATAACAAAAGTTGTATTAAAATTTTTTTTTTTTTTAAGTTTAGCATGTTAAAAAACGCAGTAAATGAAAGGGATTTGTGCGACTTAATTTAATAAATTTCCAACATGCAACTGCTATAAGAACTCAGACCGACTAACAGAGTATTGACAACATTATTGATAATTTATCAAGCAAAACTGTTGCTTCTTAAACGGCTGCTGACACAGTTTGAACTGTTTTTCAGACAAAACAAGCAGTTTGAAGATTGTCACCTTGGAAACTGTGATGGGCATGATCAAAACGTAATCAATGGATTCATCGATAACTAAAACAATTGTTAGTGACTGCCCTGGATTATTACTCAGTATATTCACACTGTCGGTTAATATACCACTGCAGTTTCTAGTGAGAGACTAGTGGCACACCCAGTCACACACACATTGCTAGTGACACATATACCTGTGGCCACACACACACACACACACACACACACACACACACACACACACACACACACTGCAGAATGTGAGCTTATTCAGGTCTTTACTGTAATAAAGCCCCTAATCTGCCCATACAAGCCATGAATGGAGACATTCCTCCTGCCTTATTCAACTACACACACACACAAAACACACACACACACACACACACACAGTAGCTGTATTTTACAGTTTTACTACTTATGGATCTGCATTACAAGGCACTAAAACTCATCTTGGTCTAATAAAATGAATTTATTTTGATATGTAGTTTTATGCTTCCACTACAATGAATGATCAGGCTGTCTCGTTTCTGCTGATGGCAGTTAAAGCGTCTGTGGAAATGATCTGTGTGTGCGTGTGTGTGTGTGTGCATGTGTGTGTGTGTGTGCGTGTGCATGTGTATGCTCGCTCACAAATGTCTGTGTCTCTGTCTGTGTTTGCGTATCCCTTCATCTCTGGGAATTCCCCTCTCCCTGCTTTTCCCTCCGACCAGCCCCTCCTCCTGCTCACGTCCTCCTGAACCAATCAGAGTGTCCGGCTTTGTGTTTCCTATTGCAGTGACACTGTAGGTCAGCGGCGGGGTCACGGTGTCACATCTCACCCGCACAGGGGTCACGTTTCCTGGTTGTTATGCGACATGTCAGGGACGACAGAGATGAATTTAACAGCGGCATGAAGAGTTTTTACTGATTCTTTTCCGTCAGAAACTGAAAATCTGGAAAAAGTCTCTGTCAACATGGATTTAAAGTGGAATAACGCTATATTGTAGTGAGGCCCAAGTGTGTGTGTGTGTGTGTGTGTGTAATGGTAGTGATAAAATGACTGTGTAACTCAGTTCTGTCTGACTCGCTAATCCCTCCCTCCCCCATGTCTCTCCCCACTGTTTTCACACACACAGCTGTTTCCTGTTGAATGTGTGTGTGTTTAAGCGAGAGAGGGAGGAAGAGAGAGATTCAATTTTTAACTATTGTCAGGAATCATAAATGTGAGGAAGAATATTTAAGGTAGTTTGAACATTATTCACCGAATGTTTCATCTTAAAACCTTGGTTTTTTTTTAAAAATGTTCTACATACAGTTCATGTTGTATTACACACTGAAGTTTTGCTTTTGTGAGTTGTAGTTTCCATTCAGCATGAGAATCAATTAGCAGCCTCTTAAAATTTTCTTGAGCTGTATAATCCATTGCAGTGACAACCAGCCTGCACTTAAGCCACATTACGACTCAACAATAGTGTAGCATTGACAAGAATGAATGCAAATGTGATGGATGACGCAACTCAAGTTTCAAGAGTCTGATAATTGATTTTCCTCTCGTACGGAAATGAAATGAACTCAGCTGACGCTTTCAAGTGGTTGTAATTGATATTTTTCTAATAACAGACTTTCAAAAGGTCAGTGTGACAATGTGAACGAGGTCGCTTATAATGAAGAAGCTAGAGAGAATTATCACCTCTCAGTTGTACAGCGCTTTATAGCAACTTTTGGCTCATTGTTTAGCCATTTGTCTGTAAATCCTCTGTTCTGGTTCACCTAGTAGTGTCATTTTCAGCCACAGCAGGCAGCTGTTTTCAGTGAGAAAGCTCTAAAATCCCACTGTACACTACCTGTCACTATCACCAAACTGCAGACAGACACAGGCATCGACTGCCTAACTAACATAGTTAAGCATAGAGCAGCTAAAGAGCCAGATATTTCCCTCAGGAGTTCACAGAGACCAAAAACAGAGTTTATAAGACAGTGATCGTCACATAGCCAGACACACAACTCCAAGTGAAAGCTAATGTTGCTCCATAACTGCTTTTTGTGTAAACATGGAACTGTTTGCCAAAAAAGTTCCCCATTTCTGTGGGTTCATCACTAAAGTTCTCCAACTTGTTTCCACCGCCCCCGAGAGGCAAAGATTCGGTTCCTGCAGGCTTTAATGGCAAGAAAAATACATTAAAAAAAAATCTAAAAACCATATAAATAATAAAGTATATATGATTAAAACTTGTAAACACGTTGGTATTCTCCACCAAGTAAAACTGCACAAACCGGCACCATAAGTTAACAGCAGCCCTTTTTGATGGACGCCTGTTTCTGTCAACGTTCCAATAAAGTTACATTCAAGACTTCATGCTCTTGGGAGATTTCAACAGTTGCCTCGTGACACAGCTTAAATCATAGTTTACCTCTCATCCACTGTATACTAGTTCCTGATTTTCGAGAACGAAAAGAAATGCTTATGTTAGCACAAATAGTTTTTATGCGTGGGATGTCTTTGTAGGTTTCACTAATCTTAATTGATTTTTGGCTACTTAGCAGTGAAGGCAGACGTGCTGACAAACAGTCTCTAGCAGACATGGAACAACATTTGCATTAATGTGGAATTAAGGTTCTGGCCACTAAATGAATATAAATTCAATATTAACTGCCCTGTTAGCTTTGTTTTAGCCTTTTCATGGAGTTTGTTGTCCAGAAAAACAAAATAATGTACTAAAAAACACAAAAACTACAAGCGTTCCCTTTCAAATTACACACTGTCATTTGATCCATTGTTAATATAATAATATTGGTAAGTGCAGCTTTAAAATCTGCTTACACAGCTTTATGGAGTCATAAAGTCATGTTAGTTTCTGTGTGGCAATGTGAACGAGTACACTTAATGTGATTAGAGGGAGCACCAATAAAAACGTGGCACATGTAAACACAGAGACCCAGTTACAATTCAGTTATATCAGTTGAGTCACTTCAGTTCGTGGTCTGGTTATACATTCAGGACACTGTGAAATCGCTCAAGCCTGTCCATAAATGCAGCTTCAGAGTATGTTACAAAAAATATGACGGGACTGATGGAAGGACGGAGATTTCTATGATTATTATTGGTCTCATGTTCTCCGTCCTTTGTTGCATCGATTGATGTATTATTAAATCAATAAGCTTCTATGAAATGAGAAGTAAACACGGAGAAAATACAAGAAATGAAACCGTCGTAATGATCAGATTAAGTGGGTTAAGTGGATTACTTGTGTCTTTTGAGTTTGGTTAATGTGTAATAAGATAACTCTCTTCCATTTTCAGCTTTAATGGATTTTTTTTTTTCTCTTCCTGTCTGCAGAGTGAGTCAGTGAAATACTTCCTGGATAACTTGGATCGTATTGGACAACTGGTGAGTCACAGTGACTGAATCTAAAAATTCACTCTGCATTGTTTCACCTCTTTCAACTTTTTAAAAGAAAAAATCTCCCCCTTTTTTTGTTTTCCCAGAACTATATCCCGAGCAAACAGGACATTTTATTTGCGAGGAAGGCGACTAAAGGAATCGTCGAGCACGACTTTGTCATCAAGAAGATCCCGTTCAAGATGGTGGACGTGGGAGGGCAGAGGTCTCAGAGGCAGAAGTGGTTCCAGTGTTTTGACGGGATCACATCGATACTCTTCATGGTGTCATCATCTGAATACGACCAGGTACCATCCGAACACATACCCCCACTTCAGATCATGTAACGCTGGTGTGGAAATTTTTAAGAGGTTATCCAGACAGTCTGATCATTATTCTCTGGACTAGTGGAATTACGAAATGGACGAGAAACATCAGAGAGACGCAACATTTGAGATTCACACAAAGCTCTCTTTGTGGTTGGCTGAGGAAACTTGATTGTTGCCTCAGTCGTGGCTCCAGTTCAAATCAAGTCATATGATGACGGCTGAATTCTTAATTGGTGCACAGATAAAACCTGAAATAAAACGACGGATAACGTGCGTCTGTGTGTGTGTGTGTGCCTGTGTGTGTGTGTGTGTGTGTGTGTGTGTGTGTGTGTGTGTGTGTGTGCGTGTGTGTGTGTGTGTGATTCCAGGTCTTGATGGAGGATCGAAGGACAAACCGTTTGGTGGAGAGTATGAACATCTTCGAGACCATTGTCAACAACAAGCTCTTCCTCAATGTGTCCATCATCCTCTTCCTCAACAAAACAGACCTGCTGGTGGAGAAAATCCGCACGGTGGACATTCACAAGAACTTTCCCGAGTTCAGAGGAGACCCTCGCAGGCTAGAGGATGTGCAGGTATACACACACACACACACACACACACACTCACAGTAAGCGAATGAGCATGTATACAGGCTTTCAGTCAGTGCACAGAAGAAGGCAGGTTAATCAAAAATAAATAAATAAAAAAGACAGCAAGTGTGCGTTCCAACCTGAAAAATACAAATCAGAAAGAGGTGGCACCCAATCAAAGCAATCAAAGCCTGTAGAGCTTCAGATTTTATTAACATATCATTGCTGATACGTTTGGACAAGAGGAATCTCTCTGTTGGAAAGATACTTAGAATTTAACTTCCTCTGATGAGACAAACTTTTTCCATGTCCAGTGAATAATAATAGTTTTACTTTTAAACATTTTATAGCAGTTACATTCTTGTATTCCTCTTCTAGGTTGCACTTTATTAGACTAGGCCCTGTGCTCTGTTTGCTGTCCCTTTCCCTGCCCCTTGTAGCTATCTGAGAGTTCACACCCCTTTTGAATGATGCCAGCTTTACACCTGTGTTGAATTTGGTCATTGCCTTCACTGCCTTGCGTATAAGTGACTTCCTGTTACCATTGTTCGTGGCTGCAGAGCTGAAAAACTTGTTAAAGCAATGATTTTTTTTTAAGTAAAATGTGAAGCTCTATGGCATTGATTGGTTTGATGATGTGTCACCTTTCTCTACTCACAGAAACACATTTAAATGCACTGTAGTCACCTGTAACCTGCAAATTTGCATAAACATGCAGCAGGTCATTCCATTGCTTGGGATCCATTGCTTACTGATTTGAAATGCAGTAGTGATAAAATACAGGGTACACCACTTAAAAAAAAACCCCTATATATTTATTTTCAGTGCAGTGGAAAAAAAATACTGTAGAGCGCAAATATATTGAAATGTTCAGCTCTGGAAACTTATTTTGATTTATTATTTATATGGCTATACATATAATCATATAATAAATTGCTATTATTAATAATCCTTTTCCTTTCATCCTCCCGGCCGGCACTGTCTGAAGTCTTTGTCATGCAAATTCTTACATGTAAAGAGCAGATTAGACACTTGGTTATCCTGATACATGGCTTTCACCAGGGGAAATCTGGTCCCTAACTCAATTAGAGAAACAGGGTTTCTCGTAGACATGACATTTAAGAAAACAAGTCACTGTAGAAAGCTGACTGTAACTCAGTTACTTGTTCCTTCCAGGCATTCCTGGTGCAGTCGTTTAGTCGTAAAAGGAGAAACCGGGGGAAGCCGCTGTTCCACCACTTCACCACAGCGGTGGACACAGAAAATATCCGCTTTGTCTTCCATGCCGTCAAGGACACCATCCTGCAGGAAAACCTCAAAGATATCATGCTGCAGTGACCTTCGTGCTGCAGACAACGACTTCTGTCTCTGATTGTAAACTGTGAAACCAGCCATGAACTCGAGCCCGGAGGAGAAGGCCTGCTTCGTTGTGACACATATTAACACTGGCCTGTGGAGCAGTCGGTTGACCCACGGAGTGGATCTAACTGAAACCTGAACCTGTGGAACCCATAAAGTGACTCTGGACCTGTTGGACCTACGTCGGCCCCTGTGGAAACTGTGAGGGTCATAGAGGACAAGACCCTGCATGTAACCTGTAAAAATGTGTGTATGCTGGAAAGACAGTCGCCTTCTCCTACTTGTAGCACTCAAGTGTTTCTTTCCTTAATATACATGTTCAGAAATGTGTAAAGAAAAAGAGAGAAAAGCACCAACTACATGACATGAGCACTGAAAGTGTTTTTCTCAGATGTATATATGACTGATGACAACCCCGTCACTAAACCGAGTCAGACTGCTGCCTGTTGAAAAGTAGCTGGATCAAACTGCGAGCAGCAGACAGCAGGGGAAAGAAGGACAAAAAGGAAGAGAGAAAGTTTAGAGCGAGCTGAAGAATGCCTTGTGTTAATGTACATGTGACAGAGGGAGAGGGGTGAGGGTTTGGGCCCGTACTGGTCATATGCTGTGCTATGTGATTAGGTTGCACAAGTGTTCCTGCCATTGATCTTGAACAGAGGAAAGAGATTAATCTGTCTAATGCTCCCTGTGTTCTCCCTTGCACTGTCGTTCTCTCTCCTCCCTTACTTTACTCTCCTCATCCCACCATCATACTGGGGATGAACAGCTGCAGATAGCAAGTCGTATTCCTCTTAACCTATCCCTCTCCTCTTCTCTCTGGCACAAAAGACAGATTGTTCGCCTCCTCCCTCTGCAGCAGGAACAGCAGACGGTCAAATTAGAGACTCTTTTTGGTTTAAAGAAACACACAGCTCCTGATTTTACATGAATTATGGTTCATCTCTACAACATCCCAGTAAACTTAACCTGAGGCATATTGTATAAATATCCCCTTTTAAAAAGGAGACTCTGGGATCCGGTTACACTGCTCGTTCCTGGTCTTTTGTCCGGTGAGCGTGACGAGAACAGCAGAGCATGACAGGGTTGAACTGACTTTATTCCCATGTTTCCGGCAGCCATTTTGGACTTTACTGTACCGACTGTAGCAGTTGGGATGAGAGGTTGACAAAACATCAAAACATCAAAACAGTAATGAGTGAAAGAAACGAGCCAGACCGAGCGGCGTTTCCTCTACTATGTCTGGTATTTTCTATATTGAGACATCTCAAGAGGGTGTTTTAAAGTTAGTTTTTACCCTCGAGTAATTGGACAGAAATAGAAAATTATTCAACAATAATTTTGCTGGTGAATTAATCATTTGTTATTAATCAAGTAAACATCTAGATGTGGTCATTTTAATTTGGTTTCCTCTAATTAAATGGGTTTGAATTTCAGGCTGCTGCTGCTGCTGCTGCCAACTTTGGCTCTTTCACTATATTCTGACATTTTAAAGCTGCACTAGTCAATATTTTTATATCACCAAAGGAAAACGTTTCTGTGTGTAAAGGTCGCTCATAGTGATGAACCCACAGAAAAGTTATTGATCGACTCTGCAGTTCCCCTCAGTGATGTGGAGAGCGTTGAAGCATCTTTCAGCTCTTTGTTTTGATCTGGGTTCAGTGCCACTGCCTTTAAGAGCACCGTTTCCAGCTGATTTTATTTTTAAAACAATAAAACTGATAAACTTACTGGACAAAAGTTGCTCTGCACCAAACAGCAGACAGACACTAGCAACTAGCTGGTGAATGTAGTGGAGCATTAAGCAGCTGAACAGTTTGATATTTCCTTCAGGAGGAGGTGGAGAACAAAATCGGAGCTTAAAGAGAGTGATTATTGGATTTAGATTCATCACATGGTCATGAACACGACGATCCAAATAAATGCTTATGTTGCTGTTTGTCTGTTGGATGTGTGAATACGCAAATCTTCGCCAACAAGTTCACCATACTAACACTGAATGGTGGGTTCACAGCTTATTGTAATGCCCCTAGGTGGCCAAAAAAAATTTAAAATGCGTTAGTGCAGTTTTAAAGACCAATTGATTAATCAAGCAATCAAAATAATTCATCACTAATGAAAATAATCACTAGTTGCAGCCTTATTTATGTCTTGTTCACCAGTGAGAGTTACCTGGTAATGTAGCATAAAGAAAAAAAAGTACTGTTGCTATGGTTACTTGCAGTTTTACATAACTTTGTGCACTGATTTCAAACGGTGGTTAAACTGGTGGTAGTTCCCATGTCGGTGGGTGGTGTCCTTTTACGTGATTTTACTGAATACCTGTCGGCCAATCAGGAGCATGTACGTTCAAAATATGTTCAAATTTGAACCCGAATCTTCTTCTCCCATTCCTGTGTATTATGTTTTCAAGTGGAGGATTTGTGAGATGACGATGCTGATTTGATTCCCAGTGTTTGCATGATGTGCATTTTGGTACGCAGCAGTAGGACACAGCTGGGCTGCTCCTCCCACCCTGAGTATTGAGTCCAAATGGCCTTGAGAGGAATGAGGCTGCTCATGAGCACTTCCACACGCCTTATTATATTAAACTGTGTAATTTGTCTGTTCTTGTGTGTGTTCATAGTGACTTATGGCCCTTTTGTGCATGTTTATACTCCCTGTACATAGAAAACTGTAAGTATTTGCCTGACACTGTGTGTTAACCTTACAATACAAACGCCACTCGGTCTAACAGTATCACTGTAACTGTAATGTTGCTGTAACATTTGTCGTTAACTAACCTACCTTTTCCACTCACACAAGTTTTTTTTTATTGTAAGTGTCGTCATTGCACTGGATGTGACCAAGAGAAAAACGACCAGAAGGGAAAAATGTCTGGGGGGGGGGGGGGGGGCAAAGAAACAAATAAACAGGCAGCAGATTTGAAAGGCGAGCAGGATGGAGGCAGAGGATGAAGAGAGGGAGGTCTTCTGCTGTTGTTTTTTTGTTTCCCAGTGCCTTGGCTCTGTGCTCTGTGGTGAAATACACTGCCTTTTGCTGACATGCTGTTTCTTTATTTTCTCAGTGTTGGCGTCTGTGTGTATTTGATTGTGTATATGGTAAAGCAAAAGGTCAAGGACCTCTGAGCTGGAAATTGAAAAGTGGTGGAACGACTAGCAGAGAGGGGGGGGGGACAAGAGAGAGGTGGCAGAGGAGTTTGGAGTTCTTGAAGGCGATGGTTGTGGATGTGGCGAAGAAAATAAATTCAAATGTGTTTTTCTTATGTCCTGGGGCAGTTTGATCACTATTTATGAACACATGCATAGCCAGAGTTGAAGCTCCTGATAAGTAATGTCATACTGATGTATAGCCTAGAGGCTAACCGTAGGCTCTTATTCCACATAATGTAATATGAAACTCATCAGCTAAAGCTATCAGACCACTGGGCATAAGAGTGAAGTGAAAGTCGGGCAATATCTCTGTTACCCAGCAGAGTCTGACCTTTGCTTTGGCTTTTAATCAGAGGAGCTCTGATACATAACAGACTGCGAGTCTCAAGAGAGAGGGAGGGAGCCCAGAAACAACTAGACCAGAGTATTAGCGTCGTTTTAGAAATCACTGGTTAACATAGATTTATTTACACAGGATGTGAGTAGAATGTAATTTAAAGATCCCCCCCACACACACACACACACACACACACACACACGTGGCAGCCTACATGATCTCCACAAACAAAACAAAAAAGACAGAAAAATGACCCTGTGAATGTGTAGGCACAGACTGGAAGAGGGACAAAGGGAGGAAGAGGGAATACAAGAAAAAGTAAGAGGATGGAGGGAGGGAGAGAGGAGAAGGGGGAGGGAGAGGGGGGCAGTGGGGGAGGTCATGTTTCCTCTGTTGAGCCCACTTCCTGTCCTGATCCCAAAATGGAGAGACTGTAAGGACGACATCCCTTTGCCTGTTTCGATCTGCCCCCCTCCCTCCTTCTCCCACTCCCACACACACACACATCAGAGAAACCCAAACCAGCCTCCCGCAGTATCCTACAAAGGAGATGAGAGGAAAAAGCAGGGAGCAGAAAAATATATCCCCAGTGGTCTCTGAAACATTAGGAAGCCTTCGTTTATAGAGGCAGAGAGGCGCAGGACATTTTGTCCTCAAGTTTCACTTCCACATGTGTGTGTTGCATGCGACCTATATACAGCATGTGTGCGTGTTTATATCTGTGTTAAACTACATGCTATGGCCATTAGCGAAACACTCCTGCAGGGATAGTTTAATATTTGATTACTACTCTTTCCTTGAAGCGAATTTCATATTTTAGAATTTATTATTATGGAGATTATTATTAGGTTAGGTTACTTTAGGTAAATTTGGTTTGCAGTAAAAAGAGACATCAGTTTTACACATACACATTTAACACACACCACAGACAACACTATGTGCACAAGGTAAATTAATAAATTAAATGCAGCATCACTACAACTCACATTATTATTATATTGTAACATGTTAATGTGACCACACAAAGCAAAGAATACAAACTTATGAATTACTTAGGAAGATAAAAGGCCTTTTTTAACAGCAGACATTTTGACTCATCACAGTGGGAAAGGCACAGGTGTTGTTAATATCATTAACAATGACTCCCAGGTAGCCATGACAATAGTGAGGCAGTGTGCAGGCATTATTCATGTTATTATTTAACCCCTGTACTGTTTCCTACTATAACAAATCAAGATGTCCTCTGTGAAAAAGACCAATATTTTTATACGATAACTGCACACAGTAGCTGCAAATATGGTTTCTGTGTGGAATGGTCAACTGTCTTTTCATAAAAAAATTGTGCATCTAACATTAATATCTCCTCAAATGTAAACTCAGCTGCTTTTGGCATCATATCTTTTGTACTTTTTCCTTGCACTTTGCCATTTTGAAAACCTCCAGGGCAAAAAAGTATTTTATCTAATTGGAACAGCTACTCTTTTGTTTTCATTTGGCAAGCAACAGTGCAACACCGTGATTTGCACAGATCTGCATTTTGACATGCTGTCACATGACCAACCACCACGTGCTGGTCACTGCAGTTGCATACTTCCAAGTTGATAGATAAATTGAATTTACTTGTTAACACCCCAGACCAAACAGCTGTCAATCCGGCACATAAAACAAGGAGAGTGACTCTATAGCAACACCATAGCAACCACCTAGTACTGCCTAGAAGATCATAGTAACCAGCTAGTAATACACCGGCAAACAATCAGAACACATTAGCAACCACCTTGAATGTGTGTAACCTTTAATTTATTAGGTCATTTCACTGAGATTAAGTTCTCTTTTGTAAGAGACGCCTGTGTGCAAAGCGCATAGCCAGACACAGACATCATAAAGGAGATTTTAAGTTTGAAGTATCAAACTGGCCAGCGGGATGAGACATTCAAGTTTTAAAATCCTCTAGACTAGAGTAAACAGGCCTGAGATCTGGCCTGATGAGCAGTGGTGATATACTGACGCAGCTTTTGAAGGAGACCTCACGTACACAAAAATGTAAAAAATAAAATAAATGTAGCTCCTCTTGTTGCCAGTGAGAACCACTCTGCTTTTCATATAGTACACAGCATTAGCATGTTATCTACCTCCTGTAATGAAGCACAAAGCATATTGACAGCAATAATAATTATTATAATCATTTATTTTATCTATACGGGGCTTTTAAAAAAAAAAAAGGTGCTCAAAAATGCTTTACATTCAAAAAGAAGTTACACACAAAAACCGAACAGCAGGAAAGTATTAAAAGAAGGTGGGTGAAAAGTAAAGGAACAAATGCAGTAAAAGAAGATATAAGACACACTCATGTAAAATCATTAGTGACAGAAGTGATAAACTGCATCCAGTTGTAAGGTAGAGCGAGCAGCATGATAATATATCCAAAGTCATTTTTTGTCCTCCAGAGAGAAACGTGTTCTTAGCCTTATCATTTATTAACACACTAGCAATCCCCCCAAAGACCATAAAACACACCATAAAAAACCACCAACAACATGTCAGCGTGCCGGTATGGCAACTACCAAGCAAAAACTTAGTGACACGTAAGCAACCCACCCACATGAAATATCCTATATGAAACCAATGACCTACCAACACCCCACTGTAAACCAGGCCCAAATGAGTTCTTGCTCAGACAGCATGCCGGCATCAACTGATTCATGATCTTTTTCTAGTTTAAATCTAACTTAGCTAAAATTATGTATTAGAGAAATTAGAGATTCAGGGTCTGTTGACTAACCTCAGACCTGAGTACTATCACCCACATTTATCTGCAAAGCTGTGTGTGTGTGTGTGTGTGTGTGTGTGTGTGTGTGTGTGTGTGTGTGTGTGTGTGTGTGTGTATGTGTATGAGTGTGTGTGTCTGCATGTGAGTGAGTGAATTTGGTCTCATGACTCTGGTTAAGCTGATGTTTCCCTAAGGTTGTTTTGATTGGGCCTACAGCTGAACTCTGATATTTAATAATGAGCCAAGTACTCCCTGTGTTTCTGCCTCTACTGTTCACACACACACACACGCACGCACACACACACACACACACACACACGGACATGGGAACTGGAGAACGGACCAACGAATGAATCATACAGTGAAATATAAACAACTAATGGTTCATTAGCGGATGATCTGGCCATGACACATCACTGGACCCCAGGCCATCACGTCATTAAACCTCTTCTGTTTTAGTTCACACTGACAGTGGAATTAACTCAGTGATGTCTGGCATCTTATCAGCTCCGCAGGACGTGTTTTCTGTTTTGTCGCAGAGCCTCGAGGGCAGTTTGCTTGTTAATCAGTGAAGATGGGCACAACAGACGCACACGGAAAGATAATGATAAACACAACTACATATGCATACACAACCTCAGGAAAATCACTTCATGCCTCTTACAACAATTAAACTGAACATGTGGAAAGAGTTTATTAATCACTTGTCAATCCTCAGTAGTTTAGAGGAGCAATGTACAAGGCAGATGTCTCCCTCTGCTGGTATAAAAGCAGTAATGCAACATTTTTAATTGACGCACCACTGCCTGTGGTTTGGACTCTCATGTTTTCTCTTGTAACTTGGAAAAAAAGGCCTAAAGTAACTCAGTGTTTGGCAGGCACTGACCTTTAAAGTGTTCTTCAGAGTAGCAGCTGTAGAATGGTTGAAGAACACCAGTCCCACCAGGGATCAGGATCTGCACATTTACTCTAGAGGAGCAGCAAGGGGCACAGTCAACACACACACACACACACACAGTGGCAGGATCTCTCACTCCCTGACCCCCAGCACAAAGGTTTTCCAGCTTTTTTTTGGTACACAAGTAGATTAAAATTCATACATGTGTAATAAAAATAAATAAAATGTGCACACCAAAAGAATGTACAGTTAAAAACAAAATTCAATGTCTGTAGCAGATGCCTCAATCTCCAATTTATATATAAATATGGGCATCCCATAAAAAATTTAAAAAAGTACCATAATAGTAGGCTACTCATTCAGTGCAATCCTACAGTAACACACAATAATAATAGTACACACGAACATTACAAACAACAAACACTATAACGCACCTTGAGGAGCAGCAGCGGCACAGTCACGACTCACACAGCGGCCGGCTCTCACTCTCTGACCCCTGCAGCGAGTCAGAAGGAATGCAAATAATGAGGACAAAACTCACAAAACTCCACAGATTTAATAAGTAATGGGAGTTTTTTTGTTTGTTTTTTTTAACCAGCAAAACTAACTGTGAAACTCAGCAACACATAAACGATGATGTATAGTTACAGTTACACGCAGTTTAAACCAACAGAAGTTAGTTTTAAGTGTGCGTAGCTTAACAAACATCACAACACGCCTTACCGGCACAAACGTTTTTCGGCTTTTGACGGGAGAGTGCAGCTACGTCACTCATGCGTCATTTTGTACGTCGTTAATTAAAGCCCCCCTTGCTACAACAGGTAAACAGGAACTATAAAAGAAATCAATTCAAAATGGAGCCAGAAATAAAAATGTCTCTCCAACTTTATGGCAAAGAATATTAAACAAAAGTTTTGAGAATGTTCACCCAAAAAAATAATTAAAAATAAATGAACAATATATTAACCCAGCCACATAAGCATGGTAAGTAGTTTTGTTTGGGCACATTTCATTCACAAATGCACACAAATAAATAAGATATTCATGAAAAAAAACAACAAATCTCACACATCATTGACCTGCAAATTTACAGACGAGGGACATTCTCTACTTGGGATAAGCTCCAATTAAGTATTAGAGGCATGAGGAGAGCACAATATATTTTATTATTATATTTCTTCTAACACTGAAAATCTATTTGTTGACAGGTTTCCCAGAAAAATATAGTCATACAGGTTATATAGTTCTGCCAGATTTTGTGGGAGTTAATCACACAGCACGGCTCGGCGTGGTTCAGCATGGCTGAATTCACACGTGTATGACACATTCAAATCTTGTGCCTTGTCATCATGAGTAATACCAACTCTTTCATGATTAAACTGAACCAAATGATCCTGGTCATTAGGTTGTTACTGTTATTGTTGTGATGCTGTGATGATGGTGGTGGTGGTGATGGTGTGAAGAAAAAAAAGAAAAACAGGATCATATTTGAAATGTGAAGTCTCACGTAGCGTAATTAATGTCTCAGAATGCACTATTACTAATGCATCATTTACTCTGTAAATTACATAAAAAAAACACCATTGCTTATCTTGTCTATCAACAGTAACAGCATGATGTTTTCCTCTCCACTAGGTTTAGAAAAATGAAAATAACCAACTGCAATTATGCTTATTGCTTGAAAGGGAGACAGCTACACTGCACCCCTTCGCAATGAAGGTTTATTTCTCATGATTTTATCCCTTATGGTTACTGCTGATCACTGTAGCAACTCCTACTGCAACAAGGCCTTAGATAATTACGTTCTGTATTTGAGGAACATCATGCTGTTATTATCCAGTAGTAGTGAATCAATTTAAGGAATGATTCAGGAGAAGTCGTGCCCTTTTAAACCACCTATTTTACGCTGAACCTGTTGATGGAGGTTTTGGGAAAGAGGTAAACGCAGCATTTTATCTGTTGAAAACTGAGAAACGTAGAGCTGGACCTCTCATAGATAACACTTACATGCAGCTAATCTCACCGTCCAATCAAAATCCCAGGAGTTTTAAGTGTATATTTTAATTTTTAAAAAAGTCCAAGGATGACTTTTATTATTTCTCTATAATATTAATATGTCAAATTTTCACAAATAAAAAAAACCCAAAAAGGTTTGATGGAAAATTAATATCAATATTATCAAACACTTAAAGTGCTTTAGTAAGCCTGTGTGGTTGTGTTTTGATCAGCTTTGATTGATGTGTGCCTGGAAACACAAGCAAACAAGCCCACAACTGTTCTCTCAGATCCTGATTCAAATGTTGCTAAATCCACAGAGAAAAAAACAAATACAGAAATCTGTCATGTGAAAACTGTGCTGACTTTGGCAGAAAATCCCACATTCATGTAAGACCACATCGCTCACAGTAAGCAGCAGATTGAGAAAATGTTTTCAGTCTTTAAGGTAATTTTTTACGACTACTGCGCTGTAAAATAATGAGTGACAACCGAATAATTATTTGTGACAATTTATTTTCCCACCAACTTGTGTATAATGGAAGTGTTAATGTTTAAGACCAAAAGATACGAATTGATTCTGCAGTTTCCTTTCTCTGGCTGCTCACAAACTCAAACACAAGACTTGATTTACGTCATTCTTTGGCACACCCAAAGCATCGATTTAATTCACTCATTCAAAAAAAAAAAAAAAGTACAAAAGTTTGATTCTTCATCATTCATCCTACTGCAGCACTATAAACAAAAACTTCATCCAGCAGTTACACGGAGGAAACTTCACAGGGCTCTAAGAGCGTTTGGTAGCGTTTTGTGAGCCTGTGAAGCAATGCCGATATTCAGGCGTGTTGATCCAAAGAAAGATACTGCATTTCAGTTAAAAATGGGTAAACAGCACAAAATTGCCCACACATGTCTGTAACTTCAAATGAAATGGGCAATGTAGTTGCCATTTTTGCGTTATTGCCCAGACACACTGGTGATAAATCAAGATTTTCACAGCATATGCACACTGCCCACATTTAACAGCCCCAATGATATTCGGCTGTTACGCTCAATGTGCTGCCTTCAGTAAAAAACACAGCCGAGTACATTGTTCAGTCAATGTAGCTACCTTCAGCGGTGCAGTAAAGGACACACATACATCAAGTACATAAAAACAAACAGCGAAGCAAATACTGTGGAGTCTGTCTGCAAAGGAGTGGACAGAGGCACAGCAGCAACACCGACACGGCGAAAGTAAACTGTTGAAGTAGCCGGGTTAAATGGATAATGGAGATTTCTTCTGTGACACGCAGCTTTGTAACAACAACAACACAAGCTCTGTTTTCATGAATGTGTTGTCCAGTGTCTGTGTTACCTACAGTGCTGTGACAAAGTTAATCTGAGCTCCAAAGCCCTTCAGAAGTGATCATCACCCTCCACAGGAGACTCATATTTTAGTAAAGTGAATTCATCCCACACTCTAAAGTCCGACCAGGTTCCATATGAACCTATTATCAGGTTTTATTGGCTCCACAGGCAGAGTCATTACATTTTTAAAAGCTAAAGCCTGTAGCTACAGTCTACATGTGGGAACTGAGCAGCATTGCTTACAGTCATACACATTATGACAGAACTTTTTCACACTGTGAATATCCTCATAAAAGAAGTGATATTTTACTATTAATTTAATATGAAACATCATACATGTTTCAGATGAACCTCAGGGTGGAGATGTTTGCTGAATGTCTCTCTCACCCTATAAATTCTTTAAAATGATTTCCTCTGGTGAAGAAGTTATTAACATTACAAATGTACAGTATACAGTCTTTGTGGAGACACACATTCAGAGTGCTTTCTAATTTAATTTTAAAACGATTTCTTGAGCAATGGCTGGAGAAAAATAGAATTAATCAATGAAACATCAAATCAAGGCATATAAAAACTTTTTCACAGCACTGCCCCCCCCCCAAAAAAAACAAAAAAACAGTATGGGCTTTACAAAAGCGATAACAGGGCACTGTCAGGGATCTCCTTCGCTCACCAAAAAAGTAAACCGATGTATGTGTGTGTGTGTGTGTGTGTGTAAGTGTGTCTAAGTGTGTGTGTAAGTGTGTGTGTGTGAATGTGTTAAGAGTGTATGGAGTGTAGAGTCATGTGGAAGTTATCTGGCGCTGGGGGGCAGATAGTACGGGTGAAACAGTCTCTCATGGGCGCAGATGTGCAGAGCAGCATGTGTGTGCATCAGTAACCGCGGAAACCGTGAGGTGAAGTAGCTGACGAAGCCTTCAGGCAGCTCGCCCAGAGTCTCCTGCACCTCTGGCGGCAACTCGTGGTAGTGATGTTTCTGTAACATGCGGAATGCAGAAAGTCAAAAAACAGACTGAAGGTGTCCATGTGAACGTGTCATGTCGAAGTGTATGTCATATAAGTGTGTCAACTGACCTTGTTCCTCATGGCTCTCAGCAGGTCTCGGACTGAGTTTCCTTTATACGTCCTGAATCGCCGCAGGTCTGAAATGCACATGAGAATAAAACCTATTGCTCACCACTGATGGCTTCGTAATCCTGCACAGTTATGTGATACTATGTGGGCATGTTGGTGTGTGTGTACCTGTCTGTAGAGGCACAGAGATATGCATCCTCCAGTTGGTTCGGACCACAGCTCGTCCCGCAGTTTCCAGTCTGACCACAATCCGACTGTCTGCCGGTTCTTTCTCAATGCGATCACTCACATCCTTCGTACAGAAACATACACAGAAGAAAAATGTGAGTCCTAAGACAGAGACTTGAGGCGGCGCAAAAATGCAGAAACATTAACAATTAACTGCACTACCCAGACTCATAGCCCTTTTGCACGTTTCTTGATCAGTGTTGATTACCAGGAAACAAAAATAAAACCTATTTTTTTTACTTTTTAAAACAGCAACCAAGAAAAAATAACTTGAGCTCCCATGAAAGGAGACCTGTAGCATCACAAACGTTGCTATCCAAAACCAAATGACCTCTTTAAACTGACTCAACACACCTGGAAAAAGAGCAGCTGCTTCTCTGGGCTCCAGAAGAACGGATGTTTGAGCACACAGGCGGTGGAGGGGCGAGACTCGGCCTCAGCACTGATCATTTGATCAATCAGATCCTGTGATATGACGTCATCTGATTTCACAGATATATAAAATGTTGTTTTCAGGTAAGTCATGTATAGTTTTATGTCTGTTTCATTACAATCCTACAGATTTTTGTGATCATTATGATCCAAAACGCAGTCTGATAGAAATGTTTGAAAAGCCCAGGTCCAGAAATGCACAAGAAAAGGTTGAAATCCTTCTGTTTAATAGAAATACTATGTTTTGATCGTGGACCTTCGTCAGGAAGTAGACTTTGCTAGGAAGACGGTTTGTTGACATGTGTCTAAAGTCACCCATTCCTCTACATTCGCATGCAAATTATTCCTGTTTTGGAATTTTATAAGGAAATTCAAAGGAATTTACAGAATTTTAATTCTTTAAACTATTGGGACTGGAAGAATGCAGATTTCTTGAGGGACAGATTTGTTTTAACTACGTGTTTTACAATAAATATTATAACCATCAGGATGAACAAAATCAGAAAGACACATGTGCACAGATGTGTGTCCTCACCGTGTATATCCTCCATAAAATGTGAGAGAGAATATTCCCCTGACAGAATGTTGACCTGTCGTCTCAGTGCATCGCCAAAAGGGTGCTGCCCCCTGCTGACCACGTAATAAAACACACAGCCGGCTGAGAACACGTCCACTGCTGCTGTCTGAAGGAAAAGAGAAAAACTGTATCAGTGAGCTGACAAATACAAAAAGTCTAAACTTGAGTAAAAATACAACAGTATGTAGAGTCTCTCAGTCTTGGTGTTTGGGTTTGGTTACGGGAGATTTCTAAGACTGAAAAATGACAAGCAAAACAAAAACAAAGAAACAGTTTTAAACCGTCAATTCTGCATCTGAAGAGTTGTTTCTTTCCGTGGCCAATTATCAGAGATGACTGAATCAGTTCGGAGGTTTGAAGACTGACCGCTCTGCCCTGTAATTTGCATCTTACCGGTTTATTTCCAGGTGTATCCCGCAGTACTTCAGGGGCTATCCACCCCTCAGTTCCTGGTATTCCTGACCGCAAAGAAAAGCTGCTCCGACCGTCTGGGATCTTCTTACAGAGCCCAAAGTCAGAGATGAGAGCTCGGACCCGACCCAACGCACTGGGGCCAGAGAGGAGGATGTTTCTAGGCTTCAGGTCACGATGGACTAAAGGAAGAGATGAAGGAGTCAGGTGGAGAGGGAGGAATAAGAAGTTGTCACGGTAAAGTAGTACTACATGCCATATGCAGGAGTTTAGGAATATCTTTTGTGTGTATACATGTATATTTGTGTATATGTGTGTTTCTCCGACCTATGTTGAGTGAGTGGAGGTGTGAAAGGCCGCACATGGTCTGTTCCAGCAGAGTTATAGGGTTCAACTGAGGGAAGCAAGATGGATCCTCCACATACTGCAGAGAACACAGACACATCAGATAACATGCAAAAACATGTGTTAGTTTTGTCATTAAGGCCTGTTAACTCTAAACTGCTTTAACAGTAGAAAAGAGTGCACTCACAAGGTCTTACAGGACTTTGCTCTTTCACAAACACTGACCTGTTGCAGGGTTGCAGTGCACAGCTCGATGGCGATGTATGTGAAGAGGCGGTCTCTTTCCGTGCAGAAGTATCGGATGACGTTCGGGTGAGTGTCGGACTCTCGGAGGAGCTGCACCTCTCTCTCTGCTACCTCAAAACACTCTGGCAGGATTCGCTTCACCGCCACGTGCCGCCCGTCAAATTTACCCCTAATATCACAGAGCATTCATAATATATCATGAATAGTGTGTGCGAGTCAGAACAATATATGTTGTCTCAAAATGTCTGCAATTTTTGAGGAAACACACACACAGTGGAGAACATTTACTGTTAACTGAGGTTTTGTATGATTTAGCCCATTAACTCAAAATTACGTAAGCTTTATGTCACTGCTGACCATTTTCCAAAGCAGAGCAGAAGTCAATCTACCCACTGAATTACATTCTTTTCACTATGGTATGAAAACCAAATTGCTGAGACAACTTGTTTGACACTGACATTCAGAGGCCTTCTTAATACAACAAATAACCAAATAAAGGCAGCTAATTGTTCACTATGATGGATTACTTCCTCAAACTGTCTCAAGGAAAATTTCTGCAAGTTATTTTTCATCCTGTTAATAAATCAGTCTCAACAAATGTCAGTGTAAAACAGTGTTAAAACCTATTTTACACTTCGTAAAATAATTGGCAGAAATGTAGAGCATATCTGTTTTGCAGTTAATGATCTAACAAATGTAAATCCACTGATATAGTTAAATGAATAAGGCTGATGCTATCAACTGTGGTAACAGCACTGTGGTAAAACAAGGCACAGTGAAAAACACACATGCACACACTGTCATACCTGAAGACAAAAGTTCCCGCTGTGCCGTGTCCAAGGACGTCAGATGGAGTGAAGGAGATTTTACCCACCTGCACCTCCTCACTGTTTCCTTCTGAGACAGGTGGGAAAGAAGAAAAGAGCAGAGAGAAATGAATCTCATCTGAACAGCGAAGGACAGAAGGATATGATATACAATACTGTATGTCTAAAGACACAAACAATGTTTGATGTTTTACCTGCTGTGGGTTTGAGCCCAGCTGTGGCATTTTTATCAACATCTGAGGTGCTACTGCTGTGAGCATGAGGACTAGGCGGAGGGTCAGCAGACACAGGCAAAGAGTCTGGATATAGAAAAGTGTAGATGTAAAGTATGTGTGTACATCTTTTGCAAGTTTTACATAGAACTAACTTTTTCTGTACCTAATTTAATCAAGAAATGAATAATCAATGTTTCTGCTCTTGGAGATTCAAAACTACTTTATGCATTTTAATAATCCTTTATGTCTTTGGTGCAATAAAAAGCGTTTAATCATTGAACTCGACCCATAAATCCTTAAATAAAGGGAATAAAGCATATCAGAGAACTTGTTTTATCAGTTGCTTACCACTGGAGAGGTTTGTATCAGTTGAAAGGGTTGTGTCTAAAGAAACCAAGGTCACTGTCTGAGTGCTTGTCTGCATGTTGGTCTGCATGCGCTGCAGACGAGACTCAAAAGCCTCTTCCAGTTGCCTTTGAGCTTTCAGCTGCTGGGCTGCACGCTAGAAAAAACACAATAACAGATACAGATCAGATTAAAGGCTTTTTGAGGATGGAGGTTGAGAGTTCAGCATCGAGAATATTGTAGAGAAGGAATAAATACAACACAACGCTGTAAGACTGCCAAGAAAAACACAGTAAATACTATTAAGCCCCCAAAACTAGCTAAAAAAGAGCCATTTGAAGTGCATGCCTCTGCATAATTACTGCTAATTACTGTTATTATTATAACAAATTATGCCCCATTAGATAAGCTGATGAAAGCATACACATCTGTCCCGACATGTTGTCTTCATATGACAGACAGCCACTGTTAATGAGTTTAATACTGTAACCATGGCACATCCAAGCTTAGAAATATAGATGTATTTTTAACACAGTGCTTGACAAAAATGAACCTGTTCATTAATTAAGATACAAATTTATGCTGGAAATTACCACAAAATCTAATCAGATCACTGAGTCTGTAGGGAAAACCTTTTTTGCAAATATGATGTGTCTATAGTGTATTGTTATTAAGTTATAAAGCCACCATGATGATTTAATGTCCTCTTTATGATCTCTACCGTGGCAGCATAAAAACAGCTACAGCGGTGGTGAATACAGTACATTTTGCATCTCTGTGTTTATTTTGGGAGGGTTATTTTTCTTATTCCTGATGATAATTAGTCAAATGTTTACCACACAACATCACATAGAGCTGTTTCCAGAAGGTTTCGTCTACATCTTCTTCACTGACATTATGTAAAATACAGCCAAAAAAAAAAAGAAGGTATTTTTTCAATTTTTCCTCAACGGTGAACATTATTATCATAATTTCTTTGTTAGACCTACATGTGTGAACAAAATACTCATAACTGTTCTTCAGGGGTTAATGAATAGCCGGCACTAGAACTTACTAATTTAAACAGAAGTAGATGAAAACCTAACTGCAGGAGATGAACTTTTCTATTACAAAATAACCCTTCAGATGCACTGACAGCATGCAATCACCAATTAAAGGCACATAATTGAATCTAAGAATGGATATTTCATCACATGTTCATATCTTTAAAGAAATGCAGTATTTGGGAAATGTCTTGCCAAGAGTTTGATGAGAATATCATTACCACATGGTCACTGCATCTGGCCAAGAAATATTCTTTATATTCTTCTTTATATAACTTTCAGGCAAAGCCAAACCAGCTGTTTCCCCCTGTTTCCAGTCTTTATATAGAATAGTCATATAGTCTTTATAGAGAATAGTTAGTTGCATGGTTCAATCCTGTCATTGAACTCTTGGCCAGAAAGTGTATTTCTAAACATTTTCAAAAACTATTGCTTCAAGAAGAAACCCTGAAACCTTGGACTGTATTTATCAAACTGCTGCTGCTCAAAGTGACTGCAGTGCACACACTGATCTGTTTTCTGTATAATGAAAATAATAATAAAATAAAATTAGATTAATTAAATTTATCCATGGGGGGAATTTGCAATAATAATAATACATTAACTGAAGCAGTATAATTAATTATAATTAATTATTTGCATGTGAACATTTGATAGCATGTTAAACCACTTTTTAATTGTTTGGCATTCATCAGAGTGCAAACAGCCAAAAAGAATAAATATACACTGATTCAATTTTGTTTATGTTCAATTGTTCAATTGTTGTTCATTCCCATGTAAGTCACTCCCAGAGATTTTAAGATTTCAAAAAAATTTACAGAATAACATACCACTGAGTAAACCATAAGGATTTTTTTTGAATAATGTACAATAAGGCAGATGTAATCTATCAGTCTATATCTCTGACTGGCTATTCCTCCTCTGAACAAATGTGATCAGTCATGTGATCACTTGAGAGTTGCTCATAAATCTTATTTTTACACTTTGCTGTACACTTCTGGTACTTCAGAGCAAGTGTGATTCTAAGGTCTGATAAATACGAGCCCTGCATTTTAAACGCACATAGACATAAAACACACAAACTCACAACAGGGTATGTGAGCACGAAGGCCAGCCATCCCCCAAGCAGCAGCGTCAGAACAGCCAGGGTCAGACGGTCCTGAGTCACGTAGACGGGCAGCACTGCGGCCGGCCTCTGGGCCTGTCCTGAACTGCCCCCATCCACCCCTCCGCTGTTAGCATTAGTGTCGCTATGGCCACCAGCAACTGTCTGGAACTGAAGGACACAATAAGACAACAGAGAGAAGAAACAATGAAAATATGATGAGGCTTCAGTTTTTTTTTTCTATCTGTGTTTGTCTGCTTTATTTCATATAAAGCAGTCTGCGATCAAAGTGGTTGTTAAAGGGCCGTTTAATAGTTCATTACATCGATTCTTTGGTCTCTGGCTCAGCTTGAAGCAGGCTGTAATGGACAGTATTAGCTTAGTAAGAGAGGATAATTGCCTAATATCATTGGTGTAATTTATTGACTCTCAGGTCTTAAGTTGTGGTGTGACTCACATATCGCTGGTGGTAGTGGGAGGCAGGGGAAACAGGGGAGGCAGAGGAGCCGGGAGGTCGAGGGGGGATGACTGCCTCACCAGAACGCTGCAGAGTGACTGGGAAATCCCTCAGCATGGTGGTGTGGGCCACTGGAGGGAGCTCATGGTGGCCTAAAACCCATAAAGACACAGATGTAATGAAATTAGAGCTGTATGAATGTCTGTGTTGGTGTCAGGGCTGGGGTCACTTTCTTGTCTGGTCAATAAATCAGAGTTTTTTCAGTTTCAGTTCAGAAATTTCAGTTTTGAGGGAACTTTGCAACCTTCTTTTTCTTAAGCCAGAGTTCTTGCTTCTAAAATTTCAATATGGTAAAAAAAAAAGGGTTAAGGGTTTTCAGATTTCAGAATTTCACTTTCATCATTTTGTGTGTGTATCCGGTTTCAAGACATTCTGACCATAAAGTGAGACTTTCAAGTTAAAAGAGAGATTTGCCTGCTTTAGCTCAGTACTTCCATGTCTACATGATCAATAGTTTCTCTGTTCAAAAGGCTGTGTAGGCTGTGTGTGTGTTTACCTATTAGCAGCCAGTGGTTCTTCTGGCTGTTTGTGCTCCCTGGTGGATAGCGCACATCAGTGGACGGTGTAATCTCACACTCCCCTCGCTCTCTGACCGTCACTCCTGCCGTATCAGGACCTTCAATCCGAGCCAGGGTCAGACCGCGAGGCTGCCATGACAACCAGAACCACAAACCACACACAGTTGTTCGCTTTCTGATAAACCTGATCTGTTGTACTGTATTATAAATGTTCTGTTAAAGTAGGAGGGAGTGCTACTACAGATGTGGATGTTGGAGGAAACTGGATGCGTGAATGCTGATATATAACAAAAATGGATTATATATTTGAACTCACCACTAAAGAGACTCCATGGTGGACGAGGGAAGTTGAGGCGTAGAGGTGAGAGTCCAATTTTCCAACATAGAGAGTGGGTCTTTAAGAAAGAAAAGCTGGGTTATTTCCTCGGCGTGAAAGTGAACTTGTCAAGCTTCTATCAGCAGGATACCTCAAACACTCACACAGGGATTTTTTATCAAATATAAATCATCATATTGATCTTTGGACAAGGAATAATGATTAGATTTGGGGTTTTCCAGATTAAAACAATTATCAGTTAACACCAATAACTGAAATATGAAGACAAACTAGTTTTTAATAAAAACTGTACATTTACACTGACGTTATATTATTCTATAATAAGTTTAAAGTTTTCTCTGCCGTTGAATGTGTTTTCTTGCCGGAGGCGGGTGGTGGTGATTGTTGCTTGACAAGAACTCTCGTCATCGTTGTGTTTACAAGACAAGAGGTTATAATACGCCCTCTGAGTAGCGCTATGTCTTCAGGGCAGATTGGAGGCTACAGTGAGTCGCTATCGGAAAGTGACGAGACGGGCCGGGGCTAGCTGGTCAGTGTGCTAACTAAAAGATGTGGGAGGTGAGAGTTAAAATTGGCATTGCTTTCCACTGCTGGAGACAGCTCTTGGTTAGTAAAGGAATGAAGTTTGTTGCTGAACTCGCAACGTTTCTTCTAGTCTGGTAAGTAAACAGCTGTCAATGCTAATGCTGGCTAAGTAGCGATAGCAAAACTTAAAAAGAGCTCCTTTAAACTGCAGTACTAGTAGTCAATACTGTGTTACAAGTTAACTCTCAGTGAAACAGACCTTACCGTGGGATAAAAAGACTATAAGCAAACTTTTTGCCTGTAGTAAGTGGATGTAGGAGTATGATAATATCACTGGAGATATCATGATTGAGAAAATAAGAGACTTACAAGGTCTTTGCATATACCTTGTGTTCCTCTGTATTCACAACAACAATTGGGTGCAGTATAAGGGCAGGCTTGGAAGATGTTCAGAAGTGCCCAAGGTCTGTGCTTTCTGAAACCCTTCTAGTTACAGTTATTATGAATAACTATCAGGAAACCAGCCAGAGGATATCACTTCAGGACTGAACATAACAAGGGCAACTGTGGCTCAGGAGGTAGAGCAGGTTGTCCACTAATTAGAAAATCGTGGTTCGATCCCTGGCTCCTCGAGTCCACGTGTCGAAATATCCTTGGGCAAGATACTGAACCCCACTTTGCCCCTGATGGCTGTATGAATACATCAGTGTATGAATGGGTGAATGTGGCAAGTATTGTAAAGCGCTTTGAGTGGTCAGTAAGACTAGAAAAGTGCTACATAAGTGCAAGTCCATTTACCATTCTACTCATTCATATGCATGTGTGTGTGTACACCAACAATTTTTCTCTTACACAAGTTGTGTTTGTGCACTGGCTTGCTCCTTTACAAACTGATAGCTCCACTTCAAAGTGGAGTGTGTGTCTGCCTGGTCGTTGGCAGAGGAGAATGTGAGGAAGCGTAGCGTTTCCATGGCGAGGGACAGATGGGGAGCGTGTCTTAGCGAGTCACCAGAATACAGGTAGACACCCACAACGGGTGAGCCATAGTTCTGACTCCACAGGACGTCACCTAGAAGACAAAAATGGAGCACTTAGTTTTACTGGAGGGCAGAGATCAAATAAAAGGCAAACACTCAACCCCTCACATATAAAAGTTGTGATATATTCACATAGCAAAAACCACACACCTCTCCCTACCTGTCTCTCTGTCAACTGTCACAACAAGACCATCACCGCTCGACACCAGATGGGCCATTTCTGGAGGCAAAGCAGGTAGTACAGGTTAGTATCGCACAGGGTGGAATACAACAAGATCTGCACCAAAAAAAAATGATAATAATAATAGCCCTATTCTTTCACTAACTATATACCATGTTTCACTGAAGCCTGTTAATACGTTTTTAAATATAGCGTAAACTATAAAAAAGCTATAAGTTTAAGAGTCAAAGCATATTCTTGGGTTTAGAAATAGTAATGGGACAAGAAAATGCACTAAAAATTTTAATCGACTTCAATGTTGTTGAATTTAATTCATGAGACTACAAGTGAAGAGACTCTACAGTAGTCTATGCTTTCATTCCATAGATACAAATGCACCTGTTCTAGACATATGGATATTCAAAGTATTAGTATTAACATATTAGCAGGAAGTTCATATTTACATTTAGCTAATCCACCCATAATCCTGTCATGTCTGTCTGTCTGTCTAAGTGAATGTATGTCCAGGGACGTACTGTAGTCTTGTTTCTCATCGTAAGGGGGAGCAGAGTAATCATTGTAGGTAGCGTTCCATCGCAGCTCTTGTGTCTTGGTGTCAAACATGGTAACCACATATTCTGGAAAACAAACAGGTGGAAAGTTCATGAGTAGCAGACTGTACCTCAGCAACATGCATGTGCGTGCATGTGCGTGTCTACCTGTATGACATACCTGTGCGTCCTATGTAGAGCAGAGGAGTGTTGGGGCAGATGGATTCAGAGGATGAGGTGGTTAAACTGGTTTGCTTCACACCCGTCTCAGGATCCACCACAAACCACACATCCTGCTTTTTACCTGCAGCAATGTCATCAATGAGGCATGTCAAATATTCTGTCATTTCATCTGTCATTCTCCATCTCTGACAACTGTCTAGCACACATTGATACAAAAAATCATACTTTTCTAGGCATATGTCACTGTCTAACACACACACACACACACACACACACACACACACACACACACACAAACACACACAATGTCTCACCTGTATAGAGTATACCATCGGAGCTCCTGCAGGGAGCTGACTGAACCAGCTCTGGGATGGTGAATGGCAGTTTCTGCAGATAAATCAAAACAATGGGTTCAAAAAGTGAAAACAGACACACAAACTGACACACATAAACAAACATTGCATTTCCTCACCATCAAGCCTTCCTTGTATTTGCCACCCAGTACATATAAGCTGCCATCATTGGGGTCCGGGAGAAAACCTGGCCTACAAAAACAACATTCATACAATGATGGTACAATGATTCATTTATATGTGTTTGTTGGAATTGGTTTTATTTTAAATTTTAAATACTGCTTTCAATTCACAATACTAATGTCAAAAAAGTATATATATTTGTGCATTTTTATGTCTTAACCTCTAGTCCTCTAAGGTGCCCCTTCAGGTCCTTATTTTTAGGAAATTTTTAAACACTTATTTCTACAAAACTCTTTAAATGTTGTCTAAACACAAGCAAATTTGCCTACATGAAAAGGAATAAAATGATCTCCATTTGGATTTAATTCAGGTGCTATCAGATCAAAGATTAAGTAAAGAAGACAACAAATCTTGTCAAATTTTTGTATGACGGTGTGTATGCTACTCACTCTGTGAGGTAGACAGGTACTTGGATGATGGGGTCTGAAAGAATTCAAAGAACGATTTCATGAGAAATTTTTAAAAATGAAAATAAACATTAGGAAATATAACCGATGTCTGTAAGTATGAACCTTCTCGTAGGGTCCACTTGATGTCTCCTGACTGTTTGGAGACAGCATGCAGACTACCGTCCAGTGTTGAGACAAACAGGAGGGACTCTGGGAGGGTGACTGATCTGACCCCTCCAACCTGATGAGTCGAGAGAAAGAGAGAGAGAGAGAGAGAGAGAGAGAGAGAGAAACTTTAGGCCAGCTGTCTGACAGGGAGTTCAGTCACCGTGTCATGTATCCAAGATTTCAGCATAGCTCAACTACAGTGTGTGTGTGTCTGTGCATGTGTGTGTGTATGTGCGTGTGTGGGAGTGGGTGTGTCAGGTCTGCCAGGGGTTGATAGTCTGGCTCTGCAGTAAGTTTCTTCTCCCATAATCAGACTGTTACTCATTTAGCAGGATATCCTTATTCTCCTTACCAACACTACACCCTCTACACTTTACACTGAGAGCTTGTGTGTGTGTGTGTGTGCGTGTTTGTCAATGTGTGTGTTCACCACTCCCATATTTACCCACCAAGGGGTGGCAACTGGCAACACAGAACAGAACAGCACGCTGTGGTAAAAACACACCATGGCGAACACAGAGTAAAGACTTGCACAGATGTCCTCATGCACATACACATACAAACACGCACAGGTGAATTATAATCAGACTGATAAAAGCCCCTCCACCGCTCCTACAAAAGACCCCCAGACTGAAAGCCAGTTTTCGTCTCTTTATGCTTTTCTTTATTAGATGGGCCTAGGTTAGATTTGAACCTAGTCCGCTACAATAAGGACAAACAAACAAGCCTTAATAATGGTATGCGCCCTACTAGGTGACCTATTCATGTTCATTTTTCATGTCTTTGAGGTAGTTTTGTGTGTCTTTTTGGTCAATTAGGGTCTTGTCGTTGTTTTGTGTCTTTTTTATGGTAATTTCTATTCTCTTAGTGGTTGTTTTGTATCTCTTTGGTCATTTTGTGTCTCTTTGTAGTCGTTTGGAGCTTGTTTGGCATCTCTTTATGGTCATTCTATGCGTCTTTATGGTCATTTTGTGTGTCTTTATCATCGTTTATTCTCTTTGTGGTTGTATTGTGCCTTTTTGTGGTAATTGAGCATCTCTTTATAGTCATTTTGAATCTTTTTATGGTTATTTTATTTATTTATTTATTGTATCTCTTAAAATGTTTTTGGATCTCTGTTGCCATTTTGTGTCTCTTTGTAGTTGTTTTGAGTTTCTTCGTAGTTGTTTCATCTTATGTCTTTTAACTGAGTTCTTTCAAACAATAAATATTAACAGATACCCCCAACCCCCCACCCCACCCCCCCGCCCTGACCTCACGGGCCCATGGAAGTGCGCACAGGCACGCGCTCACACTCACATACACACACAGATAGAGAGAAAGAGAAACATAGAGTGAGAGAAAGAGAAAGAGGGAGAGGCGGTATTAACTTTCTTCAGGCAATTCAGACTCCCCAGTGAGCTGCTAAACACTTTAAACGTCCTGTCATAACATGGCAACTTCACTTGATCCTGAAATAGACACAGAAGCGCAGCGTGATGCCAGTTGCGTTCTAAGCTCCGCATAAATCGCAAGACACAAACAGTATTAACAACCACAACAACAACAGAAACAGCCACACTGTAAAGTTTACCTGAAATAGTTTGCCTTCCCAGGACAACAGGAGAAGAGACAGCAGCAGGCGCCCCAGAGCCCCCATGACCCCCAAAACACCGACTTTCATGGCTCTGAACAAACGGAAGACTAAAGCTATTGAACTAACAACAGAGGTCGAACTCTCTCTCCATTTCTAGCGCGGGCGTCCATCGGTCAAAAAGTTAATACTGGCCGTTTAACATGGCCAAAGCTGTTCTGACAGTTAACAAACACGTTGAGATTTAAGCTAGTAGTACCGCTTTAAATCCATAATAACACCAACGCAACCGTTGCCATTATTCCATGTTTCCGTGTTGGGACGGAACCAGTGACGTCAAGCAGCGAACTGTCAAGCAGCGAGGTGGGCGTGGCTTTTTTTCCCTTTTTTTTTTTTTCCAAAAATTCCCCATCCCACGCTGAGTGACAGGAGGCTAAACCAATAAGCTCAGAGCCTGGGAACAGAAGGGGAGGGGCTGTAGAAACGGCTGGAACACGTGGAGACAGACAGCAGGACAGTAGTGAACGCAACAAGAGCATCTTTTTGTGCAATAGAAAGTGGTGGAGGGCGTCAGTATTTGTTCTGCACTCTCTCTATGCACCCCCCCACAGTATCATACACACGTCAGTGGTAGAAAGTACTTTCACATCAAGTGCTGTTCTTAGGTTTTATTTTTTTACTTTACATGAATTACTAGAATATATGTACAACGAAATTAGGCAATACCCCTTAAACTGGTATTTTTTATTATACAACGTGAACAACTGCAGAAGAATTATACTCCATGCACGGATCATATTCGACTTTATGCTTCCACTTATCAACATTTTAGAGGGAAATGTACTTTTCACTTTTTATTCCGCTACTTTGTATTTGGCAGGTAGTGAGTTTGCCAGTTAAGGTTTTACATAATTTTATAATGACTTGTGATATAATAATAATAATAATAATAATAATAATAACTACAAAATTCCTTAAGAAATTTTGAATGTGCCTGCTGCATATCCATTATATCCTTTTCCTAACTCTGACCTCAGTCACTCAAAAAGCTCTTGAAACTGTGAAGACTGGCCAAAGTGACCTCACAATGATGGTTTTGAACCTAAATTGGTCCCCACAACCATAGCAAGACATGTATACACACACGTACATGCCCTAACAGAAGACGATCTGCAATAAAGCTACTGTGATTTCTCCTGCTACAACAGAACAACATGGACAACAGTAAAAAAAAATGCCCGGAGTTAATCAGTGTAATTAGCCAATCACAGTCAGTTGTGTGAAAGTTTGGGCAGCAACTGCACTTGTGCACTTGAGTGTGTCTGTGAATGTGCGTGTGTGTATTGTTGTGTATGGCAGGAGAGCTGTCTACCATAGAGCCACCAAAACGCTGTGTTACCACGTTGAGACACTAATATAGTTAATATCCAAAGGTGGAGATGGTTTGTGTGTCTGTCAATATACACTCACTGGCCACTTTATTAGTTGCACCTTGCTAGTATCGAGTTGGACCCCTTTTTGCCTTCAGAACTGAGGTTTTGGTCCATATTGACATTATAGCATCACACAAGTTGCTGCAGATTTGTCAGCTGCACATCCATGATGCGAATCTCCCATTCCACCACATCCCAAAGGTTCTCTATCAGATTGAGATCTGGTGACTGTGGAGGACATTTGAGTACAGTGAACTCGTTGTCATGTTCAAGAAACCAGCTTGAGATGATTTGAGCTTTGTGACATGACGCGTTATCCTGCTGGAAGTAGCCATCAGAAGATGGGTACACTGTGTTCATAAAGGGATGGACATGGTCAACAACAATACTCAGGTAGACTGTGGCATTTAAACAATGCTCAACTGGTACTAAGGGGCCTAAAGTGTGCAAAGAAAATATCCCCCACACCATTACACCACCACCACCAGCCTGAACTGTTGATACAAGGCAAGATGGATCCATGTTTTCATGTTGTTTACGCCAAATTCTGACCCTACCATCCGAATGTCGCAGTAGAAATCGAGACTCATCAGACCAGGCAACATTTTTCCAATCTTCTATTGTCTAATTTTGTTGGGCCAGTTGTAGCCTCAGTTTCCTGTTCTTAGCTGACAGGAGTTGCACCCGGTGTGGTCTTCTGCTGCTGCAGCCCATCTGCTTCAAGGTTCGACGTGTTGTGCGTTCAGAGATGCTCTTCACCATACATCTGTTGTAATGAGTGGTTATTTGAGTTAGTGTTGTCTTTCTATCAGCTTGAACCAGTTTGGCCATTCTCCTCTGACCTCTGGCATCAACAAGACGCTCACTGGATATTTTCTCTTTTTCGGACCATTCTCTGTAAACCCTAGAGATGGTTGTGTGTGAAAATCCCAGTAGATCAGCAGTTTCTGTCATACTCAGACCAGCCCGTCTGGCACCAACAACCATGCCACATTCAAATTCACTTAAATGACCTTTCTTCCCCATTCTGATGCCCGGTTTGAACTTCAGCAGATTGTGGTGCGTGTATGTGTGTTCGTGGTGTTAGGAACTGCTGACTGGCCAATATGACCTCACAATAAAAATATGAGCACAAAATTGTCCTCACAATCATAGAAAGCCATGAACACACACACATACACAGTGCTGATTTGCCTTATACATGCTCTCATACTTTGAGTAATAAGGGTAAGAGTTAATGAGTCTTATTAGCCAATAAGAATCAGCTTTGTCCATTTCTGCCAGGATACTGCGTTAGTAGTGTGTGTGTGTGTGTGTGTGTGTGTGTGTGTGTGTGTGTGTGTGTGTGTGAGACTGTGTTTGGAAACATCACAGAGATCAAAGAGTCTCTAAAACGAGCTGTTTTGAACAGCTGTTTATAGCTTGAAGACACAGAGCTGACACAGAGCTGAGTGAGATTTTGGCTCGGCGAGCCTCTCAAACAACTGCTATTTCTGAAAAAACGGTAACTCCTATCAGAAACATGAGCAGACCATGAGCGGCACAAGACCTTTGTACACAGAATATGTGGCTTTGGTGTTTCTAGAGGTAAAAATGTGGAAACAGGAGCAAATTTCAAAAAAGGGTCAGTTCTGCACTGCCATGCACACTCAGTAAAATTATAAAAAGAAAGTCAAACATTTACAAAAACTCTTTATTTTTCTGCAACATGTTTACCCTCAGAAATGTCAGCAAACAGTTAGCCGCAGCCCTTTCCCCATGATATACCAAAATACTATTCACAAAATACAATTGAAAGTGCCTTTGCATGGGGAAAGGATGGGATAACTTAGCTTGTAAGCGGGTGTGCTTCAGATATGAAATGATGACAAAAATAAAATAATACTGGCAGGCCCTTCGGTCATTTGAGGTATGCACAAAACAAATGAAACAAACAGCAATGTAGACTGGTCTTTAAAGGCAGGTAGGTGAGGTGTGGGCTCTACACACAGTGCAGTGCCCAGGCCTTTGGCTCTGTATGGATTACTGATGTAGTACGCTGTCAGGTTTGGGATAACCAAACAGCTCAAAGTCTGGTTCATATAGCTTGTACAGTTCTCTCCTCATTGTTATGGGAATCTGTGCAAACCAGTCTCTTTCCCAGCTGGTTGCAGTTCGGTTTCGAGCCCCTGAAGGGAAGCGGAGCAGATGATCCACCTCCAGAAGCTTCAGCAGGCGATCTGCGTCGGGTTCTAGGGTTTCTAGTCGTCCAATGAAGTCATACTTGATCTGGCATGGATGGCAGAGACGGTACACCTGAAACACATAAAAGTACAGCAGATACTTAAAAAACTTTTAATAACTTTTAATTTGTGTACACATACACACAAAAACTGAAAACACAACTCTGCTCCTGTTCTGTGTTAATTACCCCAAATGGTTTTGGCTTCCTTGTCCTGCTCAGCGTCTGATTTTCAGTTATTTAAACAGACTTATGTTTCTGAACCTCACTGTGTGTATGTGTGCGTGTGTGTACTATTAACCATATTGTTTATATAACATTTTATTGTATACTGTGATATGCTAGTCTAAGACAATTACACTGTGCTGTATGTGCATTCAGAAATGTTGTTGCTGCCCTCTGAATATACTTATTGTTACTATGTATCTATGATTCAGAGGAAATGCAAAAAATAGAATATAAAAATCATATGTAACAAATACAGACCACATTAGTGAATAAAACATGAAAAACTGTTTAAATGATAAGCTGATTTAATTATGCGAGTGATCCATTTAAATATATACTAAAAAATCCCAACATGCTGATTAAAATGACTCCTTTTTGTGTGCTGTTGATGGGCGCTATTCTTCCATAATACAACACACAACAAAAGTGGACAATCTGATTGCATTAAGAAAAAAATGGAAAGTTGTTGCCATGGCTCCAACAACAGTTGACAAAACAAATCGGGAAATAGATCAGGAGAAACACAGTCATTATTGATTTTTTGTAAAATTCTAATTGGAATCAGCAGTGATATTCCGATGGTGCAGTTGTCCTTGTATCTTTCTTACTGGACAAAATTATAAATTAATTTATTGAATATTAACTGCCAAAATAGTAAAATGTCAATATATTGTGTAAATCTTTATAGAATTACTGTAAAACATAGTATGAAATTGGTACACACGCAGTGCAGATGACAGGGGACAATCTTAGGGTAATAGCAAAAAGTGCATATTATATTGGTATGGTCTTTCAGCACAAACAAGAGATGCAAGAGATTATGTATGCATATTGTAGTTTCACAAAATCCAATTGTATTAAGTGTAGGTTTACTCTGCTTGTGTGCATGTACCCGTGTGAGACAAATACCTGTCGCCAGTGTTCGTTGAACATACTCTCCTTCTCAGTCTCTGGATCCAGCAGGTATGTGATAAATTGCTGAAATGTTGGTTTGATTCCAGCTGCAAACGCCTCGGCTGCGGTCTCTGGCAAACTCCCAGAGACATTACCATAACGACGCAGCATGACTGAACCAAACTGCCTGTAGAAGTCCTCATTGGGTCTAAAAAAACACACACACAAATACACACACTTTAATAATTCAGTAAGCAAAGAACTTCTGTTTAATCGAAAGTGAAGCACATTCCTTTGCCTTAAACTAGCTTCCATGCACAAACACACACACTCACTCTCTCTACCATGAAACACACCTTCCAAACTTGTTCCTGAAGGCAGAGATGAGACGTACAAAAGGGTCTCGTACAAACAGAAACTTGGTGTAGTGCTGGAGCTTGAGTGCCATCAGGTGGCGGGACAGAGAACCATAATGGCGCCAAAACCTGGTGAAGGACACACGGACAAAGACACAAAACACCATGAAGGATATTCTATTAGTGTCACTGCTTGTTTCTTAAGCTGCAATTGTGATGCTTTACAGTTTGTCTGTCAAACATCCAAGTTTCATGCAATACTGAGAACATTTGGTGGGGTCTCTAAATGACTTAAAACAAAGCCAAACAAGAAAAGAACAGTCCTGAAGGGGAAAAAGATGTGTCTTGTATAACAGCTCAGAAAGAAAAACAAATGTTCAGATACTCATATCCAAACACAGACAGCTCCCGAGGGGTAGAGAAAGGTCTGTCTGTGCTGCAACACCAAGCCCCGCCTGTCGTTTCCACTCTCCTCTTCCAAGTGTCAACTCAGTAAATAACTCCTTGAGCTCACGGATAGTTTGTCAAACAGTGTTTCAGTATAACTCAGTATCTTAAGTGTTATTGTAGAACTGATGTAAAAGAGAACCACGTAACCTTTCATTCATTAATATCCCCTTGAAAATTCTTACAATTCTTACACTGACAATTTTTTAAATTGGATTTATTAGGATAATTGGAAAGCAAGAGGCCCCGTAATATTTCCAGACTGACACTTTCATTTCAGAATTGACATCTTGAGTTATTGTAATCAGCTTATAAATCAGGGTGTCAGCTCAGAGGCTAAAGGCATTAGCTTCTGTATTGACACCATGATTTATTGGCTAGCTCTCCTTTGTTGTCATTGCGGGACTGAGGTGTGTGATTTGTTTGGCTTTAGTCTCTCAGTTTTCCATGTTGATTTGTTGGGGAGTTCGAGCTGTTTAAAAAATTATAATGGCGGCTTGGTCTCTCTGTGTAGGAATTTGGTTTGTGTAGACTACAAATTTTCTTTGCAACACATTTTATTTAAACTACCGACTACTTTTTTATTCATCATTCTGTCCAGCAAACACTGTTTTTTTTTGCCCACACCTAATGGATGAAGTGCTCTTATTTAGTCAAAAAGAAATGTATGTCGCCATGATTACGAATAGGCATCACCCGACCTTTTCTTTGTTTAAATACATCCTTTTTCCTTTGTCTGTTGCTCATTAATCAAACAAGATAATATCATCAAATCTAAAAAAAAAATAACTGAACATTTCTTGATTTTCTTTATTCACTGACTTGTCATTTTAGTGAAAAGTTGATTATAAGTGCAGCTTTTGCAAATACGAAACTCAGTTGCAAAGGCCTTTTTCACAGAGGACATTTTTACATGTCACAGTAGGAAAAGCACAGGTGTAAATGATGAAGTTAATGACGGCTGAATTCTATTTAGCTGCTTAAGTTTCAGTGTCCTGGTACTGTGCATGCTGGCTCGCTGTCAGAGCCATCGTCAGTGTTATGAGTAACACCTGTGCTTTTCCTACTGTGACAAGTCAAACTGTCCTCTGTGAGAAAGGCTTGTTAAGAAACCACATTCATGTCCTCAGTACTATTTCTGGGAATTTGGGTGGTTCTAACAACCTGAAGAGGAGTTTCCATTCTACAATTATGTGCAAATTATACAGGGGGGGGGGTTTCAAGGTTGTTTCTGTTATTTTTTAGCTTTCAGTATCTTTAAATTTTATTTCTTCATATCTAAAATTATCAAATGAAAATGTAATATAGAGATAGTTACTTTATTTATCACCCAGGGGAAATTCAGGTGTCCAATAGCTCATTAGTAATAATAACAAAAATAGTTAATAATAAATACCAAACAAGTATAGTTAAATTATTCCAGTTCAACACTTCCTTTGGCTGAGTTGTTTTACAGCCTGATGGCAGTGAGGACAAAGGATCTCCTGAACCACTCTGTTCTTATAATATATATAATATATATAATAATGGGATTAGTTCATATATATAACAATTTCCTTTATTGGATATACATGAAACAGCATTTAGGGTGGGAGCATTTACAGAAAATAACTTTTTTTTTTTGGATAGTCAAAAATGTCTTCAGGGCCTAGGTGACAAATTTGTATGTATTTGGATTTTTGGTGTCAGTAGTTTTAAAATCCTGGTTATGGCCTTTCCTCCTGCTCCTATAGATACTAATCAATTTAACGGTCGACATCAGTTATCATTCATTTTAAATCAACTCAACAGTGGCGGAAAGTAATTACGTACACTTACTCAAGTATTTTATTCAAGAACAGTTTTGAAATACTTCACTGTTTAGATTTGACTCTACTTTATTCTTCAATATTATAATATTGTGCTTTTTACTCCGCTACATTCATTTAGGAGCTTCAGTGACTTTTCAGATAAAGACTTTCCATGTAAAACATATCATGATCTTCAAAAACATCATGAATTGTTATAGATTAAACTCCCCAATAGAATATTAAGTTGTTAAATTTAGCCTCACCTTAACAGAATTAAATTCGGCTTGCACTGGGGTGTGTTTATACTTATCTTTACGGTAAAAAGATCTTAATACGTCTCCCTCCCCAGCAACTCAACAAAACAACTGGGAGTATTTACTGTATATATATATATATATACAGTATGTATATATATATTTGTGTGTGTGTGTGTCATACTTGGCAAAAGTGAGGTGAAGAGTGGAGTTGTGTACGAGGTCCGGAGGTACAGCCTCTGGGTCAGTGTAAGGCTTTCCTGAGGAGGGCGAGATCAGAGACTGAGACAAAACCACCATCACTCTCTTCCAGTTGGTGCAAGCTACCTGAACGGAAAACAGTGATGGAGGGAAAGAATAAGTAAAGACTAGATGCTCAGAAAGACAAGAGATACTGTGAACATGTGCATGTGAATATGTGTTTTTTTTTATCAGTTCCAAAATCCTAGAAGAAAAACGTTTGTTTGTCTTCTCACTTTCTTGCTATTTTTCATACACTTAGATCCAGGTGTACGAAGTGAGACAGGGAGCCAACTCACCACCCACACACGTACCACCACCTACATTTTCACACAAATATGCACACACACACACAAAACAGCCGTACCTTGGGAACGTAGCAGTAGATAATCTGGTGGGTATCGTCGACTATCAGGTGATCCAGTTCCCTGTTGGGGATCTGCTCAAATGCCCGAGTCCTTCCAGGGAATTCCACATCGTCCCGTCCTGAACAAACATCCATGATCCTCTGCTTCCTTGCCTCCTGTTCCCTGTCATCAGCAGAAGTCTGACTCCTCTCCCTCCCATCTTCCTGTGTTTCCTCCTTCCCCTGCTCTTGTTTGTCCTTGCCCTCCTCCTGTTTTTGTTCTTCAGCTGCTCCCCTCGTCTTTTCAGGCATGGGTTTTGTACTGGAAGCGGTGGCGGGGACAGTGAGGGAAGAACTGCTCTGGACCCTGCTGGTGGAGGGAGAAAGCAAAGAGCCTGTAGTCGTCCGTGGGCAAGAATCAGATTGAAGTGTCCGGTGTTTGGGGTCCTGCAGTGGATAGAGGTTGAAGCCTCCGATGTCGTCCCAGTAGACGATGATCAGCAGGATCATAAACAAAGACCCCAGGATGAACGCCACTCGTAGACCACGCCAAATACCCATGGTAATATCAGATCCGCAGTCGGGATTGGCGAAGAAAAGAGGAAAAGTTTATCTCAACTCCATGGTGGCCATATATTACGGAAGGAGACACTTCCTGCTTGCTGGCTGTAACTGAAAGAAACAGGAAATATTACCAAGACCCCAGTTCTGCTTTTACTGCCTAAGTGAAGTAAAAGGATTGAGTGAAGACTAAAGTTATAAAAACAGGAACTGGATAATACAGGGGGTAAAAAAAAAAACATAGAAGCAGTGTGATACCAGATGTAGGGAATAAAACATGAGAATAAAACATGAAGTGGCATCTTTAGTATCTCAACTTCATGAGACACACAATGGGGGCTCATCAAGCTTAGTACATTTACTCAAGTACTGTACTGTGGAAATATTCAACTTTTTATTCCTAAATATTTATTTCACAGGTAAATTTACTAGAACTAGAACTGAATGCAAGTGTGTGTGTGTGTATGTGTTTGTGTGTTTTTGTGTGTGTGTGTGTGTGTGTGTGTGTGTGTGTGTGTGTGTGTGTGTGTGTGGTGTGTGTGTGTGTGTGTGTGATGTTGAAAAGATTTTGAAATTTCCTTCCTCAGTGTGTTTTACAATATTTGTTTAAAGTCAAAATATCCTAATATAAACAGGTCAGTTTATTTACATGGTAAAGAATGTAATTTATTTAGAGCATATTTAGGTTTAATATTGTATTAAACATCCTCATTTTATCAACTTTTCAACTATTTTCTATGAGTAGAGAAGCACTTTCTAACAAGGCACCTTTTATAAAGAGGTTTCTAAAAAATTTGTAAGCAAGTGCTAAAATAGTAGATAAATAGATAAATAGTAAAAACATAATTTGCTTATGCTTTATGAATCTGTTTGTAGCCACTAATGAGAACAAACTTTGGGTTGCCAGGTTTTGAAAAATCTTTTAGCTGGTGTTTGGTAATAATTCGGTTATGTTGTTAAATTAATGTTGTTAAAATATTTATAAATCCTCATGGGGTCTCATTTCCTCGAAAGCCATCAAGCAGCAGTTAAGATTATTAATAACTCATGAATACAAGTTTTTTACGTTTTCCACAGTGCTATGTGCCGAATCAATGTAAGACTTAAATACAACTTTGTGCTTGACACATGCAATTTTAACGTCTACTACAGTCATTTCAAAGGTATATGATATTACATAATATATGCCTACTGTTATATATATGATATAGCTGGCTGTGTTTTTGACCGGTGTGAAGTTACCCAGGGGCCGTGGGAACCTCAAGCTCCGCCCGGGGCGCTCAGCTGTCACAGAGATGTGAACAAACGGGGATGTGGGGGTGGAAGTAGATTCAGCCCTGAGCCTGCTAGAGGGTTTACACCCTGTATTGTTCCATAAAAACATCTGCTGTCCGGGGAAATAGTGGAAAAAATGAGGGTCCTAATAAAACCAGAAAAACAAAATCCAGACTGGAGCAGAGCACAGCAGAAACTCCTCCGGCTCATATTTTGACAGAGAAAATTATTGGTTTCTCTGCGGTGTTTCTTTCCACTAGGTTTTAAATCCAAACTCCACGTTGACTGGAGGGGCCTATTTTGAGAAATTAACATCCGCAAACTCTCGTGTCACGCTTGGCACGCGCTGTACCCACACACACACACACACACACACACACACGTGCGCACACAAGACGGGGAAAAATGTTAAAATATTCCTTTTACATTAAATGTCTGTGGAGCTCAATAGTAAGTCAGTGTAGGTAAACAACACAATCCTTTTTTTAACTTTGTTTTTTTTATGTCGGCTGCTCAGGGAGGCGCGGGCTGTTGAAGTGTTTATTTAAGTTAATATTTTTCTTTTTTTTCCCCAAAACGACTCACCATCACCTCCTCCCAGTGCTCGGTCGGAAAACAACCTTAATTCATACAGTACAGTTACAATGTGCCCATTCACCGGCTGCACCGGACACTGTCCCTCTCTCATGTAAATGGTCACTTTCCTTTTACTCCAGCCGACGACACACAAACTAAACTTATGTTTCTCCACAGTCTCCTCCACCTTTTCTCCTCATCTTGCTGCCTTTGAGGTGGAATAAAGCCCGGGTCTATTCTCTTTCTGTCTCAGTACAATTAAGCCAGTCTGAACCTGAATCTATCTCTCTGAGAAAAATACTACACATAAGCTGATTTATGTTTTATCTTACCCGGCAGATGAGCTCCATGTTGCCGGCCAGTCAGTCCTTTGTCGCCTGCTCCGTGTCCCCCCTCTCTGTCTGTCCGTCAGCCCGGTGATGAGACCGGGTTGGCACGATAGGACCGTAGCGGTCTACGCTCTCCACAGAATGAAAGTCTCGCGAGATTCAGGGAACCAAGCCACCCACTCTTGAACAGCGTGCACACTCCAGTTTCCACACAGACCGCTGTGAAACCATAAACCCGCCTCTGACTCAGGCTCCCAAAGTTAAGGTCCTGGTACATCCAGGCGGCCCTAGAGGAGGCTGAAGCAGAGTTAGGAATCGTCAAACTTCACTGGTAATAAACAGCAAGGCTATATTTACCCTTTTATGGAAGTCCATTTCTATTAAAACATAGAAAGGTTGATGGAAACATGGTCTCATTCTCCCCTTCCTGAGTTACAGCATTGAATAATTGTGCATTTGCAGGATGATGTCACAGTGAAGTTGACCTTTGACCATTGAATATAAAATGTCATCACTTCATAATTTTATCCTATTAGACATTTGTGTGAAATTATGTCATAATTAGCTTGTGAACTTGTGAGTTATGGCCAAAAACATGTTTTGTGAGGTCACAGTGACCTTGACCTTTGACATCTGTACACTAAACTCTAATCAGTTAATCTCTGAGTCAAAGTGAACGTTTGTGCCAAATTTGACGAAATTCCCTCGAGGTGTTACTGAGATATCGTGTTCATGAGAATGGCACAGATGGAAAGCATCATGCCTGTGCCCCAGGCTGTTGTAATTTCTCTGTATTTATTATCATAATATTTTGACTCAGTAAGTCATTGTTCTTGTCTGAGTGTTTTTCTCAATAATTCTGTGTTTTTAACTGTTTGTGTAATGGTTTCAACTTAGTATCATTTTTACTCATAGGTTGTAATTTTTAATATGTCATTGTTTTTGGCTTAGTGCCTCATTTTAACTCGGTATAAAAAAGAATTTTGTATCTCATAATTGTTACTTAGTAGTGTGATTTTTACTCTGCATGTTATAATTTGGATTTATTAGCTCATAATTTTGCCTCACCATAATTAATTCTATTTCTATCGTCAGAATGGGCTACCATAGCAGACCAAGGCCATGTGGTTTAAGCACAATAATACGCAATAATACATAATGGTGAGAATTAAATTCCTGTTTGAGCATAACTGAATAAATATAATATGAAAAGTCCAAGTGGACCTAAATTAAATAATTCAGAGGCCTTCTTTTTGGTACAGCTTAAATATGAATGAGTCCAAACATTAAAAACCAAAGGCACACAAGTGAATATTTACAGGTGTTTCTATTTTCTTAGCAACAAACTGAATATGCTCTGAACTAATTTTGTCATAAAAACCTAAACATTGAATCATCCATCTTGGCATGAAGTCTGAAGAGCTGCCTTTTAATGAGTATTTATAACATCTGTGAGCTGATGGGAAAATGATGGGGTGGCTTCCGTCTCCACATCAAAAGGCGCAGGCAGCTCACCAGCAGTCCACTGAAAGCTGGGATCACACTGGCTCTTTCACTAAAAAACAAAAATTCAGTCAAGGCATTTTAACCCAGAGGTGCAGCAAAACGCACCAGATTTATAGTTTCACATCCCCACACACCCATTGAGGACTAGTAAGGACTCTGGGCTTTATAACCTACTGTTTCTAAATCCAGAACAAAGGCCTGTCATTAAATTTAGATGAAGTCTAATGTTGCAGCGTCATAAATTTGAGTTGTGGCTCAGAAGGTACATTCACAGACAAACCTTTTCCACCAACTTCCTTACAGGTAGATAAATGACTTCTATAAATAAGGCATTAGTCGACCATTTTCTTCACCTTGTCAAACAACGCAGTGAAAATCTGCACAGGACAGCGTGAACATACATCAGGTCCGTTATGGTTAATGAGGCAGAAGATATATCCGCAGCCTGTGGTGTCACTGAGAGCGGAAAAACAGTGTCTGACTTCACATTTCCATTAGGGATTAACCATACAGACTAATGAACCTAACCAGTGCTCGCACATGAGAATGAATTGTTCCCTGCATGGTGAGCTTCTGCAGATGTGGTTTGTCTTGATACCAATGACATGGACATGGACATCTCTCTCGGTCCAGTTTATTTATTCCTCACAAACAAAGAAAACCGTACTGTGTTTTATTTTCTGTAAGAAGATTAAATGGGTTAAAAATCTCTAAGAAAACTCAAGCATAATTTACACCTTCATGACAGACCAGCAATCCGGAAGAATAGAGCGAACCCGCAATCTCGGTGTGCCTAAAATATTTGAACAGTGAGTCAGCTCGACTTTATGACTTTCACTGTAAATATTTTTGGCTATGGTTAAAGATAGAAATAATAAAAATCTGTATTCATGTGAGAAGAAAAGACATTTCCCTTTAGCCACATTTTTCAGACAATTTAACCTCAGACACATGAACTTTCAGTGGCAGCTTAGGTGATGTGTCAGCAGCTGAAACACAGCTGCATTCTAACTGCAGTTCTGAGGAAGCAGTAATCTGTTTATGAGATGTGATTTGTTCCAAACAAAACAGGCTTAAACTCAAATTTCTAACTCCAGGATGAGGCTGGATAACAAACTTGCACTCTGGGGGAGGAGAACGAACTTCAGTAATGCTGGTCTCCTTTTTTTTTTTTTGATCACATAAACTCTGGAAAACTCGAGTAAGGATAAAAATCACACCAAACTGGTTCCTTTTTTTCTTTTTTACAGAATCTTATTTAAAAAAAAAAGAAAAAAAAAAGGATGTAGTACCTAAAGGTGCACATTATATCTCTTAGTAAGCATCTCTAATTTCATTGTTGCACACGAAAATTACAAGAACATGCATTTGGACAGGGCCAGAGAAAACCATTTCAGATTTTGATGGATAACAAAAATGGTTTCATGACAACGTCACTGAATCAGCACTAAAGAAAAAGTGCCAGTGCCCGTCATACGCAGGATCCACACGACAGTTAGTAAAGTCAGTGTTTAAGATTATTTTTCCTAGTTTGGAATATTACTGTCCTCTTCAGTTGGAGATATGATGTATTGTAGATAAGCATATTGCAGAAACCTCCACTGCATCTTCGTTATGGTGGCAGGATCAGATCATGCCGTACCTGGTTACCAGCTCTAAATGGATTAAGCGAGGCAGTTAAAATTGGATTACGCAGAAACGTGTGTAAACCCAAACCTGACAAAAACAAAAGCTCAGCTAAGCCTGAATCGCTTTCACGTTTTAACGTCTTGAAATCGATTTCCACAAAATACATGTGGAAGAGTTTTTTTTTCCTTTCTCACTCAAAAATGTTTGTAGAAATGTTAGAAGTGTTTCTCTAATGTTTGTGTATGGTTGATGAAACAGACTGGCATCCATCTGGGCTTCTACACAGCTCATCTGTTCACTCAAGATGTTAAAACCTAATTTTGTTAAGATACTAAATGGGTTTGTTACGCATTTTAAGAACAGGAGCCATTAATTCTTATGTACTTATCAGGAGTGCTGCTTTTGATTTTATATTTTTTAATGAACATAATGTCCTGAGAATATGTGGTTATCAAACGAACAATAGAGATCAGGGATGTGTTTACACCTGTATATATGGTTGGAATTAAAAATGACTTTCAATACTTTTTGTTTCCAATTAATAGTTTGGTCTATGTAATGCCATACAACAGAGCTGTATCTAACCTATTCAATTTGCTTACTTTGTGCAACCAGGAGTCAAAAATAAAAGTGCATGTCTTATGCAATTTACAATTATATTAAAACCGAAAAAGCACCAAACTAACATTTGAGAAGCTCGAACCCCAGAATTTTTGGAACTTTTGCCTGAAATGATCAAAATGGTTGTTTTTTTTAATTCACTATCAATTTATCTACTATTTCTTTCAGAACTACCTGTGTATTTAGCTCAATGGTTGCGATCAGCTGGATTCTGAGCAGAACAGGAGAGCAGATAATTACCTCTATAATAAAGAACCAAACACTAAGACAGAGCTCGGTATTACTGAGTTTGAATGTTTATTTAAAGTTATTCCCACTGCACAACCCCTCCCTGTGTGAAAGCCTAGTCTGAAAGGAGGAGGATACAAGCCACTATAGCGCCACATCAACGCATTTCTTAACAAGGCTACTTGTTTAGTCACAACACCTCCACCCCCCATTGGTATGGCACTCTGTGCTGCCCTGTGATAACACACTAGCATGGTGAAGCTAGTTCAGAAATCAACCTCAAGAGGAAGAACAAGGTCCAATCAGAGACGGGGCTGCGGTTAGACTGATCGACTCCAATTGGTGAATAGAAAAATGGAGGCAGTATTACTAAATATCAAGTTCCACAGAGAAAAAAAAAATGGGGCGGATGATGGTGAGAGACAAAGAGAAAATATTCAATACAAAGTATCCTCTCTCGTCCCTCGATGTGACAGCAGATCCGCAAAGGCGTGCTTCGATGGTGTCGCTAATGTTGAAGGTTGAGGCTTGAGATGAACCTCAAGATTCACAGCGTGGTCGTCGTCCTTCTCCAATCAATGACACAGTTCCTCTCTCCTCCTTCCACACAAAAACGGATGGACTGAGACAAGAGAGAGAACAAGTTCAATTCAGATTGAGAATGTAGAGTGTGTGTTCCCATTCTGGGCCATTTACAAAAACAGGGTAAGAGGGAGTAATACACATAATGCAGTTGTCAATCTTCAAAAGGCCCAATTCATTATATAAGGCAGACAACGAAATGTGACTCATTTTGTTGTTCCATGTTGTTGAATAAACGTTTCGTTCATTCATCAAATTCAGTAGCTGCACAAGGACTGACTGAGTTGGTCCACTTCAGCAGAGTAAACAGTCTGAGAACTGTTGACGCTACTTCAGGAGACAGTTTTACTGAGAGCAGTTTTGCTTTGAGCGTCACATCTAAACTCCATTCACCTCCATTCGTATTGGGGAGGTGGCAAATATTCACGGTCAGATACAACTGAGGGTAAATGAGAAAATATTGGGGTTGTTTGTAATATGGGTGACCCTTTTAAAAAGGACAAACAACTGACCACAGACAACACATAGACACAATTTATGAATAAAGTTGTTCCAATAATCATAATTGTGTGTTGGACGT